AGTCCACTCCAATGTCCTGCTTTTTCCATGTTTTCCATGTTCTTGGTGTGTCTCAGAATCTTCCCAAATTATTTTCTGTTTTGTCCTGAAAAAATAGGAAACTGTAATACATAACCAGAAGGTGAGAGCAAATACGAGAAATGTGGCACACCCTTGGTTTCGCTGCTTCTCATCAGGTGCAAAAAAAAAAAAAAAATCACTTGATTTTTCTAACTTCCAGATTGGCCCTCCCACTAGGATGGGGAGGTGAGCAGGCAAACACCAACTTGGTCTTTTTTTGTTTGTTTGTTTTTTGTTTTTTGACAGGCAGAGTGGACAGTGAGAGAGAGAGAGAGAGAGAGAAAGGTCTTCCTTTGCCATTGGTTCACCCTCCAATGGCCGCCGCGGCCGGCGTGCTGTGGCTGGCGCACAGCGCTTATCCGAAGGCAGGAGCCAGGTGATTCTCCTGGTCTCCCATGGGGTGCAGGGCCCAAGCACCTGGGCCATCCTCCACTGCACTCCTGGGCCACAGCAGAGAGCTGGCCTGGAAGAGGGGCAACCGGGACAGAATCCGGCGCCCGGACCGGGACTAGAACCCAGTGTGCCGGCACCGCAAGGCAGAGGATTAGCCTAGTGAGCCGCGGCGTTGGCCCCAACTTGGTCTTTTTTCAGAGAACAATTCTGCCTCCTTCAGGAATGCTGGAGTACATACAACCCAGGGGAAAATGGCATCATAGGAAGATAGTGATGACTATGAGGTGGTCATGGTAGAAGCCCCTGGGTCAGTCCAAGGGGCAGCGGCTCTGTTATTTCCAACACCTGTTCTTTAGCTCAAGCTCCATCACTAGGACTGCTCTGAGCTTCCCTGGTCCCTGGGCTCAGATTTAATCTACACAGCCATTGCCTGCAGAGATCTGCCTGCTGCCAGCAGATGGCCTGGAGACACACTGTCCACATTCCTGAACCACAGTATCAGGGAATCCTCATGCCTGGAACTGAGCAACTCTCTTCACCTTCAGCCTTAGAGCTGCCCTGCCTCAGGTTACCCTTGACCCCAGGGCAGCCTGCTTGCATTAGGACACACCAGCACGTGGCTTACGATCTGAGCCCCGGCCCAGATCCGTGGAGCTGGGCCCAGGAATCTGCATTGCACAAGCTTCTTCAATAGTCTCCTGTGCACGTCAAACCCTAAGAAACATCGGGCCACAGCCCGAGGCTTTTGAGAACCTAGGTTTTTAAATTCTGCAGCATTGAGCCCCTGGAGAGGTGCAGTTCTTGTTTTGAAGAAATGAAGAACAAATATGTCTCACTGTTTCCGATGAGCTCATTGCTGGGGCAACACCACAAAGTGTTCCTCAGTGTGGCTACCCAGCCCCATAAGGACTCAATGGAGAATGATAAGGTGTCAGACATTGCTCAGATGAGAGCAGGCAACACACACACACAGCCACACATACACACGAACAAATACAAGCCCAAGGTCATCATCCTGAGGGTGCGCAGCTTTTATTCCAGTGGAAGACACCTTGATGGGGAGAGGCTTGCTGCAGCCCAGGATGCAAGCAGGTTCCCCTAGAAGGCTGCATGGCACTGCCTAAAAGTAGATCCCACTGGGCTATCTGGAAGCTTCAGTTTAAGTGAATAACGAGAATCAGTTCAAAAGTTCAGTTCAAGAATCAGTTCAAAACTCACCTTTTTTTCTTGTTTTATTGATTACTATTGTCTTTGTGGATATCTTTAGCAAAGTTTTAAGCAATTATTAATCAGCAGAAACCAGAGTATAAACATTCAATGCTAAGAATCAACAGTAGTGAGAAATCTTAAAAACACAGGGGAGGAGGGTCGGCACTGTGGCAAGGCAGGGAAAGCTGCTGCCTGCAGTGCCAGCATCCCAAATGGGCACCAGTTTGAGTCCCAGCTGCTCCACTTCTGATCCGCTCTCCGCTATGGCCTGGGAAAACAGTAGAAGATGGCCCAAGTCCTTGGGCCCCTGCACCTGAGTGGGAGACCCAGAAAAACTGCTGGTTTCAGCCTGGCCCAGCCCCAGCCATTGAGGTCATTTGGGGAGTGAACTAGTAGATGGAAGATATTTTCTCTCTCTCTCTCTGTCTTTCAAGTAAATAATCTTTTAACAAAACACAGGGGAGATTTAAATCTAAAGGTAATTTTAAAACCCACATATGTTGCATGCATCAACTTTAGCCTTGATTTAAGACTGCTAAAATACATTAAATTGATATAATTAATCTAGCTTAATTTTACTTTAAGAAAACACACATACACTTGGAAGCCTCATATATGCAGATTGGTTTTTTTTAACTTTTATTTAATGAATATAAATTTCCAAAGTACAGCTTATGGATTACAATGGCTTCCCCCCCATAACTTCCCTCCCACCCGCAACCCTCCCATCTCCCGCTCCCTCTCCCATTCCGTTCACATCAAGATTATTTTCAATTATCTTTATATACAGAAGATCAGTTTAGCATATATTATGTAAAGATTTCAACAGTTTGCACCCACATAGAAACACAAAGTGAAAAATACTGTTTGAGTACTAGTTATAGCATTAAATCACAATGTACAGCACATTAAGGACAGAGATCCTACATGAGGAGTAAGTACACAGTGACTCCTGTTGTTGACCTAACAAATTGACACTCTTGTTTATGGCATCAGTAATCTCCCTAGGCTCTTGTCATGAGTTGCCAATGCTATGGAAGACTTTTGAGTTTGCTGACTTCGATCTTATTTAGACAAGGTCATAGTCAAAGTGGAAGTTCTCTCCTCCCTTCAGAGAGAGGTACCTCCTTCTTTGATGACTGTTCTTTCCACTGGGATCTCACTAGTGGAGATCTTTCATTTAGGTCATTTTTTTTTTTTTGCCAGAGTGTCTTGGCTTTCCATGCCTAAAATACTCTCATGGGCTCTTCAGCCAGATCCAAGTGCTTTAAGGGCTGATTCTGAGGCCAGAGTGCTATTTAGGACATCTGCCATTCTACGAGTCTGCTGTGTATCTCATTTCCCATGTTGGATCATTCTCTCCCTTTTTTAATCTATAGGTTAGTATTTGCAGACACTAGTCTCATTTGTGTGATCCCTTTGACTCTTAGACCTATCAGTGTGATCAGTTGTGAACAGAAATTGATCACTGGAACTAGTGAGATGGCATTGGTACATGCCACCTTGATGGGATTGAATTGGAATCCCCTAGCACATTTCTAACTCCACCATTTGAGGCAAGTCTGATTGAGCATGTCCCAAATTGTACATCTCCTACCTCTCTTATTCCCACTCTTATATTTAACAGCAATCGCTTTTCAGTTAAGTTTCAACACTTAAGAATAACTGTATATTGATTACAGTATTCAACCAAAAGTATTAAGTAGAACAAACAAAAAAAATACTAAGAGGGATAACGTATTAAGTTGTTCATCAACAGTCAGGGCAAGGGCTGATCAAGTCACTGTTTCTCATAGTGTTCATTTCACTTTAACAGGTTTCCTTTTTGGTGCTCGGTTAGCTGTCTCTGATCAGGGAGAATATATGATATTTGTCCCTTTGGGACTGGCTTATTTCACTCAGCATAATATTTTCAAAATTCCTAACAGGGATCACTTTTCAGTTAAAATTTAAACACCTAAGAATAATTGTGTGTTACTTACAGAGTTCAACCTATAGTACTAGAACAAAAAATACTAAAATGGATAAAGTATTACATTGTACATCAACAGTCAGGACAAGAGCTGATCAAGTCACTGTTTCTCATAGTGTCCATTTCACTTCAACAGGTTTCCCCTTTGGTGCTCAGTTAGTTGTCGCCAATCAGGGAGAACATATGATATTTGTCCCTTTGGAACTGGCTTAGTTCACTCAGCATGATGTTTTCCAGATTCCTCCATCTTGTTGCAAATGACTGGGTTTCGTTGTTTTTGACTGCTGTATAGTATTCTATAGAGTACATGTCCCATAATTTCTTTATCCAGTCTACTGTTGATGGGCATTTGGGTTGGTTCCAGGTCTTAGCTATTGTGAATTGAGCTGCAATAAACATTAAGGTGCAGACAGCTTTTTTGTTTGCCAATTTAATTTCCTTTGGGTAAATTCCAAGGAGTGGGATGGCTGGGTTGTATGGTAGGGTTATATTCAGGTTTCTGAGGAATCTCCAGACTGACTTCCATAGTGGCTTGACCAGTTTGCATTCCCACCAACAGTGGGTTAGTGTCCCTTTTTCCCCACATCCTCGCCAGCATCTATTGTTGGTAGATTTCTGAATGTGAGCCATTCTAACTGGGGTGAGGTGAAACCTCATTGTGGTTTTGATTTGCATTTCCCTGATTGCTAGTGATCTTGAACATTTTTTCATGTGCCTGTTGGCCATTTGGATTTCCTCTTTTGAAAAATGTCTATTGAGGTCCTTGGCCCATCTCTTAAGTGGGTTGTTTGTTTTGATGTTGTGGAGTTTCTTGATTTCTTTGTAGATTAAGGTTATCAACCCTTTATCTGTTGCATAGTTTGCAAATATTTTTTTCCCATTCTGTCGGCTGCCTCTTCACTTTCCTGACTATTTCTTTTGAAGTACAGAAACTTCTCAATTTGATGCAATCCCAAATGTTAATTTTGGCTTTGACTGCCTGTGCTTCTGGGGTATCAGATTGATTTCTTATAAATTTAAATTTTTGCAGTAGCTGAGTGCACTATAGTGCAAAATATCTTAATTGCTTTATCTTAGCAATTGATTTTACTTTTGCATTCTATTCCTTAATGTCTCTGTATTTTCACCTGGAAATCTTGGAGAAAATACTCCGGTAAGATGCACCATATTTTTTAGGATACCTTCATGGGTGGTTCTCTGCCACACACCTGCTAAGGGGATACCTTCCAACTCTCCACTTTGTTTTTGAAGACTTTCCTATCACAGACAAACAGTTAACGTAATGTGGTCATTTATTTCTCTTTAATTATAATGTTGTCACCAGAAATCATGATTCCTGATAGAGCTGTCTTCTTTCCATTTGCAGAGAACACTCCAATAAGTATCTCCAAAATGGCCCAAATAGAATTGGAAGAATCTACAAAAAGGCTCTTTATCTTCAGTACACAGATGGCACCTTTACGACAACGATAGAAAAACCAGTCTGGCTAGGGTTTTTAGGCCCTATTATCAAAGCTGAAATTGGAGACAAAATTTATGTACATTTAAAAAACTTTGCCTCTAGGCCCTATACTTTTCATCCACATGGAATAACATACTATAAGGAACATGAAGGTAAGTTCAGCTCGTGGGACAGCTGCACGGACAGGAGGAAAAGACCTGTCACTATATCTTTAGCTCTAAACTGCAGAACAGCTATTTTGGTTCATCCTAGTAACTATTTATCCAGGTTGTGTGTGTTCGTGTAAGGTGTGAATATGATGGGATTTCTAGGCAGACTTGTTGGTGACAGTCAGTAAGAGCTGGAGCTTCGTCCTCAGTACCCAACCCCTTTCCTGCCATTTCTCTGGAACAAGAGAGACGGACGGACGCAAGCAGCGAAGCCAAGAAGGGACAACAATGCAGTCATTACTCAGGGAGAACTCCGTCCCAGCTGAGGTGGCCTGAGTAGTCTCAGACATCGGTCAAGTGGTACATGTGGCTGGGGTGGCCCCAGGTCACATCTGCTGCACAACAGACCAAAAGGGTTATTTGAATGTAGAACTCAGAAGTCTTAAAAGTGGTACAAGAAGAATAAAGAAAAGGTTTGGTGCCTGTGCTTGATGGTGATAGTGAAATTAATGGGTATTCTGTCATGGTTGAAAACAAAGACTTTGAAATTAATAAGCCAAGGTCTGAGTCAAGTCTCAGCTTTGCCTTTTACCAGTTGAATGATATTGGAGAAGTTACTTAAATTCTCAGCACTTTAGTTTCCCCATTGATAATATAGGGACTATGAAATTATACAGTAACAATTCAATAAATGTCAGCTACTTTCACAAGCAAGAATACTTGAGTTATGACATATTTCATTGAAGTTATAAGGATCAAGCCTGGAAATGAATGTAAAACTAGTTTTGATTAATTATGCAACTTTTTAAAATGAGATATTGTTTTAGAACATGAATGTTTTGAATGTATCTCTTCTTTTTTTAAGCAGATAGATCCTGTTAGTGATTTCTCTCTTTTTTTAAGACTTATTTATTTATTAGAATGTCAGAGTTACAGAGAGGCAGAGGTGGGGAGAGAGAGAGAGAGAGAGAGGTCTTCCTTCCACTGGTTCACTCCCCAAGTGTCCGCAACGGCAGAACTGGGCTGATCCGAAGTCAGGAGACTGGAGCTTCCTCTGGGTCTTCCACGTGGGTGCTGGGTCCAAGGACCTGGGCCATCTTTCACTGCTTTTCTAGGCACATTAGCAGGAAGCTGGATTGGAAGTGGAGCAGCAGAAACTTGAACCAGTGCCCATATGGGATGCTGGCACTGCAGGCAGTGGCTTTACCCACTATGCCATGGCACCAGCCCCGAATGTATCTCTCTTGAGGTTTTTGCTTTGGGCAAATCAATCACATTATAAGCATGAGTGGCTAACTGCTGTCATTTTTTTTTATAATTTTATAATATATTAGGGAATTAGCATTCATTTTAAAGTGTGATAATAGTGTTGTGGTTCTGTTAAAAGGAAAAAAGAAGAGTTCTATTTTCAGAGATACATACTGAAGTATTTATGAATGGAATACAATGTTTGGGATTTTCTTTAAAATAATTCAGTGGAGGCCAGGCTTTTGGACTAGCAATTAAGCTGCCAGTTAGGACACTTGTGTCTAACATCTGAGTATCTAGGTCTAATTTCCAGATATGACTCCTGATTCAAGCTTCCCTCCTGATTCAAGCTTCCCGCCAGTGCAAACCGTGGGGGGCAGAAGTGATGACTCAAGTTCCTGCCACTCACTGAGAGACCTGGATTGAGTTCCTGGCTCCTACCTTTGGCCCCTGACTATTTCAGGCATTTGGGGAATGACTCAGTGGATGAGAGAGGTCTCAAGTAAATAAATAAACATTTTAAAATGAAATAAAATAATTTAATAGTACTGGAAGTAAGAGTGAGTGGGGTACAGATGAAGTAAGATGGGCCATAAGTTGATCATTAATGTTCTGAGTTCATGGGTATATGTTATTCCTTCGATTTTTGCATATATTTGGAAATTTACAAAATTATGAATGAAAAAATTTTTAAAGATTTGTTTACATATTTGAAAGTCAGAATTACAGAGAGAGAGAAAGAGAGAGACATCTTCCATCTGCTGGTTCACTTTCCAGATGCTTGCAATAGCCCAGGATGGGCCAGGCCAAAGCCAGGAGCCAGGAGCTTCATGCAGGTCTCCCACATGGGTGCAGGAGCCCAAGGACTTGGGTTGTCTTCCACTGCTTTCCAAGGCCATTAACAGGGAGCTGGATCAGAAGTGGAGCAGCTGAGCCATGAGCCAGCACCCACGTGGAATGTTGGCACTGTGGACAGCAGCTGTGGCACAGCACCGGCCCCCCAAAATGTTCCATTTCCATGATTATTTCCCAGGCAAAAATTTGATATCATGTAAGAAGTTTCAAATTATCAAGAGCATAGCCATTTTGGACATACTTCCACTCCATGACTCCCAGCTAAAAGTTGTTCTTTCAATCTGCTCCTGACCTATCTATTACCACTTACTTCTTAAAGCCTCAGTCAAGTATAAAAAATAAAAAATAAAAATACCTATGAAGTTTTTAGACACCTTAGCCATAAGCCTCTCATTTCCCTGTGTTCACAAAGGCCATCACTGCACACCCAAGGGTGACAAATTAATGGCCTGAATAAATGTTTGTTGAGTGAATTCACAAATGATCCATCTTCTTGACTGAGTTCAGATATATGCACTCTGTAACTTTGCTGCTTGTTCCTTTCCAGGGGCCATCTACCCCGATAATACCACAGCTGTTCAAAAAGCAGATGACAAAGTGCTTCCGGGAGAGCGGTATACTTACATACTAAATGCCAGTGAAGAACAAAGCCCTGGTGAGGGAGATGGCAATTGTGTGACGAGGATTTACCACTCCCACATCGATGCTCCTAAAGACATTGCCTCGGGACTCATCGGACCTTTAATAATCTGTAAAAAAGGTGCATTCTCTCATTATTGCTCACAAGATTTGACCATAAGCCAGGGGTAAGCCAGTTCTTTAATGCAGGTGAAGTCATCTTGTTGAAATTGAATAAAGTAGAGAGGTGATGCGCCTATTAAAAAGGAAGGGAAGAGCAAGGCAGGAACAGTCTTTGCGCAGGGAAAATGGCAGCAAAGCTAAACTGCATGGGATACGTTGCGTTTGGGGATGAGCTTGCCACATCCAGCTTCAAACAGTAGTCTGGGGAATTACAGCTTTGTCAAATGTGACTTCGCAGTGGCTCTCCATGGCGACAGATTTGTAGATATTTGTACCATATTGGTAAATATAATATCGGAGTATTTATTTCTGACATCATGGGAAAGACAACATAGCTCAAAGCACATGAATTACAGTGCTTACATGAACAACAATTAATAACCTGCAGAGACGTTTTCAGCTTGTGGTTATACACACCGGAAGACATTGACACATCTTCCCACTGGCCACACAGCATTTCAGTCATGTGGTCTGTGGACACCCAGATATGCGAGTGTCTCCCAAGTGTAGGATACTACACACGAAATTCATTATGTGGTTCCACATCTGTAAAACAGGAGGGAGTGGCTGGTCCCTATTTGTGGTTTAGGAGGGGAAATACTAAACATTTCAAAAACTCTCATAACTCATCTGAAAATATAAACCAAAATATATGTTGAAATTTACTTCTACTGAAATAATTTTTCACTTCAGATTCTCTGGATAAGGAAAAAGAAAAAGAAAAAAATATTGATCAAGAATTTGTGGTGATGTTTTCTGTGGTGGATGAGAATCTCAGCTGGTACTTAGGAGACAACATTAAGACCTACTGCTCTGACCCAGAGGGAGTCGACGAAGATGACGAAGAGTTCCAGGAGAGTAACAGAATGTACTGTAAGATCACAGAAGACTGCTAACGCTCTTATTTCTTGATGTGTTTAATTCTGCTAAGCCTATTCACTCACTGAATAAAAAGTGTTTTTCTAGCTTAGTGTATGGTAGTGAAGCATATCAGACATCCGAGTTGATACTCAGCTAAATAGGTCAAAATCAAAACTCTGTAAGCTGGATAAAGCTGAATACATCAAAATTGCTCCTAACGGATAAGGATAAAATAACATCAGTTATGGTGTAATGCATGTGTATGTTACATTTGCATATTTACTTATCCTCCAAGACATTTAAAAAATTATTTAAGGCACTCTAAAACCATTAAACTAAAATTATACACGTATTGCAAAATACCAAGTTATTTTTATTACTATGTTATTATTATATTTTTTATTATATATATTAAGAAAATAGTTGGGACCACTGGTTCCAAATGGTCTATTTCCTTTACATACCATATTGCCCTCACTGGGCCACTCATTTTACATCAGTCTTTGCTGTATTTTGGCTTACTTTGTTTTGTCTAGAAATGCCTTTTTTACTGCCTAATCTTTTTATTTATTTATTTATTTATTTTTTTTGACAGGCAGAGTGGACAGAGAGAGAGACAGAGAGAAAGGTCTTCCTTTTGCCGTTGGTTCACTCTCCAATGGCCACTGAGGCCGGCGCGCTGCGGCCGGCGCACCACGCTGATCCTGGTCTCCCATGGGGTGCAGGGCCCAAGCACTTGGGCCATCCTCCACTGCACTCCCTGGCCACAGCAGAAAGCTGGCCTGGAAGAGGGGCAACCAGGACAGAATCCCGTGCCCCGACCGGGACTAGAACCCAGTGTGCCGGCACCACAAGGCGGAGGATTAGCCTATTGAGCCGCAGCGCCGGCCCTAATCTTTTTCTTAATTCTCAGACACAAATGCTAGACTTAGTAAGACTACTGAGCCCTCAGAATTTGTATGAGAAATCCAGTACCTTTACACCAACCACACCAGCACATGTAGATGTTTATGTTCATCTTGTGCTAGATAACCTGAACTCAGAAACTGAGACCCCAAAGATAACCGCACTGCCAACACAGAAAAATAAACTACTCAATAAAGTAATTATTTTATTTCTGTTAGCAACTCCTATTTTTATCTGCCTGTCAGGTCCCCTTTCCATACTTTAATCCTGCCTCTGCTATATATTAACAACAGCAACAACAACAACAACAAAATCCATTTAGGAAAAGATATTTCTATTTGGAAAGGTTTGGTTTGGTACTGCTAGCAAATCAATGTCTTTGCTAGAACTAGTTTCTACCCAGGAAATTCTGGGACCATCCAGTTTTTGAATTTTTTAAAATATTTATTTTTATGTATTTGAAATACAGAGTTACAGAAGAGGTAGATAGGCCGGCGCTGTGGCTCAGTAGGCTAATCCTCCGCCTTGCGGCGCCAGCACACCAGGTTCTAGTCCTGGTCAGGGCTCCAGATTCTGTCCCGGTTGCCCCTCTTCCAGGCCAGCTCTCTGCTGTGGCCAGGGAGTGCAGTGGAGGATGGCCCAAGTGCTTGAGCCCTGCACCCCCTGGGAGACCAGGAGAAGCACCTGGCTCCTGCCTTCGGATCAGCAGGGTGCGCCGGCTGCAGCGCGCCAGCCGTGGCGGCCATTGGAGGGTGAACCAACGGCAAAGGAAGACCTTTTTCTCTGTCTCTCTCTCTCACTGTCCACTCTGCCTGTAAAAAAAAAAAAAAGAAGAAGAAGAAGAAGAGGTAGATAGATATATATAGAGAGAGGTCTTCCATTTCTTCCATCCACTGGCTCATTCCCCAAATGGCCACCACAGTGGTAACTGGGCCAATCCAAAGCCAGGTCTCCCACACAGGTACAGGGGCCCAAGCACTTGGGCCATCTTCTACTGCTTTCCTAGGCCATAGTAGAGAGCTGGATCGGAAGAAGAGCAGCTGGGACTTGAACTAGAACCCGCGTGGGATGCTGGTGCTTCAGGCTGGAGCTTTAACCTGATGCGCCACAGCGCCGGCCCCCAGTTTTTGGATTTTTGGATCTTGAGACTCTCTTCCCTGGCTCCTGCTGTCCTTCCTCTGAATTTCTTTTTTTCTTCCTTAATTTTTTTTTTTCAATTTTGTCTTCCAATCTGAAAAAAACAAGAATAGGGTCAGCACTGTGGTGCAGGGGCCAGCATCCCATAAGGGTACTGATTTAAATCCCAGCCGCTCCACTTCTGATCCAGCTCCGGCTATGGCCTGGGAAAGCAGCTGAAGATGGCCCAAGTCCTTGGGCTCCTGCACCCATGTGGGAGACCCAGAGGAAGCTCCTGGCTCCTAGCTTCCACCTGGCCCAGCTCCAGTTGTTTCAGCCATTTTGGGAGTGAACCAGCGAATGGAAGATTCTCTCTCTGTCTCTCTTTCTCTCTCTGTAACTCTGCTTTTCAAACTTTCAGATAAATAAATAAATCTTTTAAAAAGAGGAAACAAAACTTGCCCTATCTTCTTACTATAAGAGAAATCTTCACTATAAAATTGGAAGTTTTGATATACAATAAGAAAAATTAAAACACCCATACTACTACTGCCGACATGATTAGTAACCCATTGATTACTAAATAACCTTTAATCTTTTTAAAATTACTTTGTGTTTGTTTTGTGTAAATGTATATATATATGCACACATCTGTACTTGCAAACACATATACAACCAACATTACAATTTATAACAAAGCAAATAGTTTCATCTCTAGTATTGTGTTCATCTGCTACTGTGGTGTTGAAAAGAACCCTCAGGCTGAATTCAGGTCCAAAATGAAAGAGTGCTGTGCTCGATTAGCAATGTCTGACATGGTACAGGAGGACAGAACATTAGGGTGTGTGCCAGGCATTTTCCATCCCAGATTGATAGTGTTTCTGTAGCAGTAACTACCACTATCAGGCACCAATGTCTACTATTCACAAACTCTGCACTTGACTTACAGCTGTGAATGGATACACGTTTGGAAGTCTCCCAGGACTCTCCATGTGTGCAGAAGACAGAGTGAAGTGGTATCTTTTTGGTATGGGTAATGAAGTTGATGTGCACGCAGCTTTCTTTCATGGGCAAGCGTTAACGAACAAGAACTACCGCATCGATACGATCAACCTCTTTCCTGCTACTCTTTTTGATGCTTTCATGGTGGCCCAGAACCCTGGAGAATGGATGCTTAGCTGTCAGAATCTGAACCATCTGAAAGGTAGGGCATCTTTACCTGACGTCAGCTATCAGCTAGAAAAAAGAGGCAGGTTTCAGTTATACTGCTAATGGGGAGATGACTGAGAATGACAGTCGAAAGCTGAATTGCCTTTGTAATGATGTGACATTGGATTGGTGTCTTAGTTTTATTCTATACTGGCACGTATCATAAAGTAATAAAAAGGCCTTAAATACTAGAATATAAAGTATTGAAATCTGAAAATACATACATTTGTAGAAAAGAATTGGCTTAGAGAGTACAATTCCTCCTTGATAGTACTATAAATAGTTTCTCAATCTTGTAAGATATCCAATATTATAAAACCAGACTTGAATATTACACTAAAAAGAGTGGCCTGGTTTTTTTTTTTTTTTTTCATGTGTTTCTTTCAAGTGTAGCCACATATGTTCATTGAGTCTGGCTATTCCTCAGTTTAATTTGATAAATCTCTCCTCTGTCTCTTTAATGCAATGTGATGAAAATATTTAATATTATTGAAAAATTATTAGTTTGTCATGTTTGTCTCTTAAAGAAATTAGGTTTAATCTAGGTCTTTGGGTATGCTAATTTGACCTGCAGACACTACTGCATTGATTACATACAAGGGTAATTCAAAAAGTTCATGAAAAATGGAACTAAAAGGTAAGCTTATATTAGTACAAAAAACTTGGAATCCATGCATAGCTTTTTCATAATATATATTTTCCATGAAATTCTTTTTTTTAAGATTCTTATTTATTTATTTATTTTAAAGAGTTACACAGAGAGAGGAGAGGCAGGGTGGGTGGTCTTCCAAACACTGGCTCACTCCCCAATTGGCCGCAATGGCTGGAGCTGTGCCGATCCGAAGCCAGGAGCCAGGAGCTTCTTCTGGGTCTCCCATGCGGGTGCAGGGGCCCAAGCACTTGGGCCATCTTCTGCTTTCTCAGGCCACAGCAGAAAGCTGGATTGGAAGTGGAGCAGCCACAATGCAAACTGGAGACCATATGGGATGCCGGCGCTTCAGGCCAGGGTGTTAACCCACTGTGCCACACCACCGGCCCCCATGAAATTCTTTTTTTTTTAACTTTGATTTAGTAAATATAATTTTCCAAAGTACAGTTTATGGATTACAATGGCTTTTCCCCACCCATAACTTCCCTCCCACCTGCACTCCTCCCATCTCCCGCTCCCTCTCCCATTCTATTCACATCAAGATTCATTTTCAATTATCTTTATATGCAGAAGATCGATTCAGTATATATTAAGTAAAGATTTCATCAGTTTGCACTCACACAGAACATAAAGTGTAAAATAGTGTTTGAGTACTAGTTATAGCATTACTTCACATTGGACAACACATTAAGGACAGAGATCCCACATGAGAAGTAAGTACACAGTGACTCCTGTTGTTGGCTTAACAATTTGACACTCTTGTTTATGGCATCAGTAATCTCCCTAGGCTCTAGTCATGAGTTGCCAAGGCTATGGAAGCCTCTTGAGTTCGCTGACTTTGATCTTATTTAGACAAGGTCATAGTCAAAGTGGAAGTTCTCTCCTCCCTTAAGAGAAAGGTACCTCCTTCTTTGATGGCCCGTTCTTTCTACTGGGATCTCACGTGCAGAGATCTTTCATTTAGGTTTCTGGGTTTGTTTTGTTTTGTTTTGTTTTGCCAGAGTGTCTTGGCTTTCCATGCCTAAAATACTCTCATGGGCGCTTCAGCCAGATCCGAGGGCTGATTCTGAGGCCAGAGTGCTGTTTAGGACATCTGCCATTCTATGAGTCTGCTGTGTATCCCACTTCCCATGTTGGATCATTCTCTCCCTTTTTTATTCTATCAGTTAGTATTAGCAGACACTAGCCTTGTTTGTGTGATCCCTTTGACTCTTAGACCTATCAGTGTGATCAATTGTGAACTGAAACTGATCACTTGGACTAGTGAGATGGCATTGGTACATGCCACCTTGATGGGATTGAATTGGAATCCCCTGGCACATTTCTAACTAACCATTTGGGGAAAGTCAGCTTGAGCATGTCCCAAATTGTACATCTCTTCCCTCTCTTATTCCCACGCTTATATTTAACAGAGATCACTTTTCAGTTAAATTTCAACACCTAAGAATAAATGTGTGTTAATTACAGAGTTCAACCAATAGTATTAATTAGAACAAAAGAAAAATACTAAAAGGGATAAACTATTAAATTGTACATCAACAGTCAGGACAAGGGCTGATCAAGTCACTGTTAATCCATGAAATTCTTAAAAATGATTTTTAAAAAGTTTTTTTAAGGTAAACAAATTTCATATATACAGATTTAGGAGCATAGTGATACTTCCCACCCTACCTTCCCTCCTCCCCACGCTCTCACTCTCCTTCCTTTCTTATTCTTTCTTTTAATTTGTACAATGATCTATTTTCAGTTTATTTTATACTCATCAGATTAACCCTACACTAAGTAAAGAATTCAACAAATAGTCAGGGCTGCTGCTGTGGTGTAGTGGGTAAAGCTGCTGCCTGCAGCATTGCCATCCCATATGGGATCAGCTCAAGTCCAAGTTGCTCCCTTTCTGATCCAGTTCCCTGCTAATGCATCCGATAAAGCAGTGGAAGATGACCTGGCCCCCTGACCTGGGCCCCTCAACCTAAGTGGGAGACATGGAAGAAACTCCTGGCTTCTGGCTTTGGTCTGGCCCAGCTCCAGCCATTGCTGCCATTTGGGGAGTGAATCAGCAGATGAAACACCTCTCTCTCTCCTCCCCCATCCGGCACCCCATAATTCTGCCTTTCAAGTAAAAAAAAAGAATTCAACAAATAGTAAGAAGAAAAAAACAATATTCTTCAACAGTAGAGACAAGGGCTATAAACAATCATCGAATCTCAAAATGTCAACTTTGCTTATATATAATATATTTTGTACTCTATTAGTTACAACAGATCGGGGAAAATGTATGGTATTTTTTTAAGACTTAAAAGCAAGATTTATTTAAGTCAGAGACCTCCAGCCAGAGTGGCATGGAGGGGGCTCCAAGAGAGGCAAAATCTGAAGGGGTTGGTGGTAGTGGGGTTTTCAAGCACAATTTTGGGGAAGAAAAAAACTTATCAACTTGACATTAAGTTACAAGAAAAGGACAAAACCCATCAAAAGACCTGATCCATAATCTTATTTACCAAGGGGTGGGATAGGTAACTTGTTTTGGTGAGCTCAGAGGGATGGAATCCCCACTCCCTTGCTATTCTTATGGTAAAATTGGAAGTTTCCTTGGGGAAGGTGTCCTGTGGACTTCCATTGCCTTGCTGCCCTGAGGGAGAGCTGGCCTGAATAGAAGACAGGTGGCATCTCTGGAAGGAGGTTTACAGTTCTGCCTGCAGTGTCGCTGTCCCTAATTGGCTGTTCCCTCAACAGTGGTGGTTACTTTGGAAGCTGAGCCAAGTGAAGGGCTTTTTTCAGCTTAAGGCCAACAGGGTCTGTGGCTCTGACCCAGGAGTCCTTCAACCCCTAGGAAGTTCTGTTTCCAGTGACCCAGCTCTTGGCTGGCAGAGCTGCCAGGGCTCTTCAAAAGCTGACTTTTGTGTCCATCCAAGACCCTGGCTTTCCAGATCAAAAACCAATGCCAGTGGACTGGCCTGTTGGGTCTCCTTGGTGGCAGATCACTGTGTAAAGCAGCCATTAATTGACCTGCCACCTGTCTTTACATTGCTTCTGCTGCCTAGCTTCCTCTTCCTCCAGGTTTCTGGTAAAGTAGACCAGAGGAAATCTTTAAGAGATGCAAGTCAAGGGGGTGCTCAGTCCCATTCCTAATCTCTGGTGGCCAAAGCTAGAACTCTATAGTCACATGTTTTGACAGTGGTCTTTCTGTGAGGTAGACAATGCCCATGAGGAAAGCTATGTCCTCGCTTTAACATCAGGCATGATGACCACCTTATCTATAAAATTTGAAGTCATTAGTAAAACTTTCTCTCCCTTCCTTTGGTTTGAAAAGGGAGGTTTTGCATGTTTACTGTGCCCATGGCAAAGTGAATCTAGCTGTGAAATCATAATTTAAGCTCTCATTTTGCCTATGTTATTTAGTCTTCTATGTGGCCAGGCTATTATTACAGAAAAATGTTATCCATCCCTTTTATAAAGTCTAAAGATCAAACTGTACATCACAGTGGAGAGGCCGTCAGAATAGAATCAGTTTCTTATCTTGAAGAGATTAGAGAAATGAGGAAACAAGTCAGGCTTCCCAGATTGCTTACTCTTAGTAACTTAATAGCAAAACTTAGCAGACAATTTTAATTGTTAAATGATAACTTACAAAAACATTTATCAAACGGTGCAATACCTTCTATAAATTTCAGACAAGAGTACATGTCTTTGGAAACATAGTTTATATATCTAACACAAATGTAACTTGTTTGACCAGCAAACCCAAGTACAAACATGTCAATGACTTAAACATTTTTAGTTTCTTCCTACTAACAAATATAAAACATCTGGTACAGGGATTTATTTTAGGTTACGTGAACCAAAAAGGATATCATCAATTAATTTAGCGGTTTAAATTTATGAGCAATATTTTTATCTATGAGCCAATTAAAACAGAACTGTTAATAAGTAAATTTTCCCTTGTAGATATAGAAAATCTACACATGTATACATACAATATAGAACAATAAAGCAGTTTCAATAATAGCTTCTTAAAATCCTTAGCTTTTTTTTAATTATCATCAATTGATTAGAATTACTTCCTGCTCTTAGTAATCTGAATTAACCATACTTTTTCTCAGATGGAACTTGTAGTCCATTACTGACTTTATGTGCTTATAGAACTGTCCTTGAAGTACTAAATAAAATAGAGGTCAGTGAAAAAGAAGTCCTTTGGAATCTAAAAGAGGATACGCTTTAAACATAGAGCCAACAATGTTTTAACTTGATGAGCAGTAAATCTGATTTTTAGTGTTTGGAGAATTCAAAACTATGGATGACAAAAGACTTCAAATAGCCTTGTTTAAAATTATAAACTCATTAACCAACAAGAGGCACTTGCTTTTTCCACAAAGTATTTCTGAAAGCACCTGTAGGATTTTATAAAACATCCCTTTCATGTCTCTGGGCCTTTCTCATTAAGATAACCATCATGTCTGATAACACAACAAGATCATTAGACTTTTGTAACTTTTGGACATTTGTATCAGTAGCATTTTACATCATCATAGCTTAAAATTTAGCACCACTTCACATCTTGACAGTACCTTTAATATAATCCAAATAGCCTTATTAGTTGGTGTCTCTGCAGGATGACACATATATCCTTTGAAATTTCCAGGAGCCCAGCTGGAAATATCAAAGTCCAAAGAATGTGGAACTGTGATTTTTTTGAATGCCTGTCAAAGATACCAAGAAGGCTTAAAATATCTGGTTAAAATAGGATCTCTTAACATCATGATATAATGTAGACCAGATTTGATCATTGTTACAAAATGATTACTCAAATGCTTTAGAATGAATAACTATTAATAAAAAAATAATTGTTTTTAAACAATCAGAACTTAACAGAGACATTAAGAAAACACAATAAGTTACTTCGACAGAACACAAAAGTTCTGTCTCTTTGTCATCCCAAGAATCAGAAATAAAACCTTAAATATAAGAAGCAGCACATGGAATTATCCCATAATTTGGAACAATTTCAACATAGTCAGAACCAGAGATAAGAAAATAACTTACTAGAGCTGGCTAGAAAACACAGAGTAGGAAAGACCTGACAGAGGGGCCCAATAGAGGGGGCTTGAGAAGGAAGTTGGGGATAGCAGAGATATACTGAGACGTCTAAACAAGTTTGAGTCATGTGGGGACTTAATAGGAGTCTAGATCAAAAAACTGCCTGTCTGCAAAAGGGATAATTAAACTTTAACCCAGAGCTAACAAACGAGATAGCTAGGAAATACCCACTAATGAGACCAGGAATTCAAGTTTGTAGGAATTGAGAAGACCTGGTGAGATATGGAAAGCATTTGGAGGAGGAGGAGGAGGAGGAAGAGGAAGAGGAGGAAGAGGAGGAGAGAGAGAGATAGAGATCTTCTTGGGATCTGGGGTAAATGAAAAATTCGTTCAGGCATGGAGCCCAGAGCCCATGGCCTTGCTCCAAACTGCACCTAGTCTCACCAACAAACTAACCTCCGAGGAAGGAAGAATAGGGTGGAGTTTTCAGACGACATCCTAACAGGCTATCAGGGTCTGGTGTCCCGTCAGGGAGCCCTAAAAAAACACTAGAGAGTGGCCCTTGCCTGAATTTCAAAGTTATTCCAAGCCCTTCTCTCAGTCCCACGCGATGGGCCTATTCCTGTAAAAGGAGGCCGAGTCAGACCAGACCAACATTCTAGAGCTGAGATGAGACGTATGAAGAGTGGAGCCTCTGGCTTTACAGCTCGTGAGGACTCCAAAGAGCAGGGGACTCACTCCCTGCTGAAAAGTGCGTTTCCTGGCCCAACACCATTTGGGTTGTTGAGGTCTGGTGTCCGGTCAAGAGACCTTCTGGAAGCCCTGGGGTATGGCCCCAGCCAGCGTCCATCATTCTCAAGGCCTATCCTCCACAATGGCCGCCCAGTTTACATTCTCACCAACAATGGATTAGGGCATCTTTTTCCCCACATGCTTGCAGCATTAGTAAATTTTTTTATTTGTAAATTTTTTATTTCTATATGACAGCCATTCTAACTGGGGTGAGGTGAAACCTCACTGTGGTTTTTTTTGCATTTACCTGATGGCTAGTGACCCTGAACAATTTTTTTTCATGTGTTTGTAGTCCATCAAAGAGACTTTTACAATTTATTTATTTAAGAGACACAAAGAGAAAAACAAAGAGATAGAATTCCCATCCACTGTGTCGCTCCTCAAAAGTCCACAAGGGTTGGTGCTGGGACGGGCTTGGAGCTTGGTCCAGGAGCTTGGAGCCACTTATGTAGCAGACACCCAAGTACTTGTGCCATCATCCACTGTTTTCCAAGATGCACATTAGCAGAAAGCTGGGAGGGGAGGAGCCAGGACCCGACTCCAGCCACTTGATATGGAATGAAGATGAGCCAGTTGCCATCTTAACTTCTAAGCCAAAGGCCCTCCCCTTCATGAACTTTTTGAATGACCCTTGAATGACCTGGACCACAGGCGGCCCCCTCACAGCAGGTGCCAGTCATTTTGTGTGTAAGAACATAATACATGCTCATTGTATTCCTCCTCACCCACCCTATCTACCCCTTAAAATAGCACTGCTCCAGGCCGGCGCCGCGGCTCACTAGGCTAATCCTCCACCTTGCGGCGCCGGCACACCGGGTTCTAGTCCCGGTCGGGGCGCCGGATTCTGTCCTGGTTGCCCCTCTTCCAGGCCAGCTCTCTGCTGTGGCCAGGGAGTACAGTGGAGGATGGCCCAAGTGCTTGGGCCCTGCACCCATGGGGAGACCAGGAGAAGCACCTGGCTCCTGCCATTGGATCAGCGCGATGCGCCGGCCGCAGCGCACCGGCCACGTCGGCCATTGGAGGGTGAACCAACGGCAAAGGAAGACCTTTCTCTCTGTCTCTCTCCCTGTCCACGCTGCCTGTCAAAAAAAAAAAAAAAAAAAAACTGCCCCTTTCTGCTTATCTAGAAATCTGTCCTTTTCTTCTCATCAAAAGTACTACCAAGTGACACACCACAGAAATTGGCACATTTTTTTATTTTAATTTTATTTTTATTTTTTTGACAGGCAGAGTGAACAGTGAGAGAGAGACAGAGAGAAAGGTCTTCCTTTGCCGTTGGTTCACCCTCCAATGGCTGCTGCGGTCAGCGCACCGTGCTGATCCGAAGGCAGGAGCCAGGTGCTTCTCCTGGTCTCCCATGGGGTGCAGGGCCCAAGCACCTGGGCCATCCTCCACTGCCTTCCCGGGCCACAGCAGAGAGCTGGCCTGGAAGAGGGGCAACCGGGACAGAATCCGGTGCCCCGACCGGGACTAGAACCCGGTGTACCAGCGCTGCAGGTGGAGGATTAGCCTATTGAGCCGTGGCGCCAGCCAGAAATTGGCACATTTTAAAACATAGCTTTAACATCTTTTTGCTATGTTGTATGCACATAAAAAGGTATATCTTTTTTAAAACTTGAATTTTTCCTTTAGTAATTCATCGATAGGCATTTACCTTAGTTGATAATGGTGCTTCTGTCTGCTTGTTTCTTCAGTTTCCATGATGAAAACAAGCGATGAACACCGCTGCATTAACCAGTCCCCCCTCCCGTGTTCTTTCAGCCGGGCTGCAGGCCTTCTTCCAGGTGCAGGACTGCCACAAGTCTCCGGCAGAGGATGGCATCCACGGGAAGCAAATCAGGCACTACTACATAGCTGCTGAGGAAACCATCTGGGACTACGCTCCCTCTGGTGTAGACACGTTCACCCACGAAAATCTAACAGCACCTGGAAGGTACTTCACAGAAATGCTGCTGTTTCAAAAATACTCTCCCCTCGCCACCCAAAATGCTGCTTCAGCAGTTCAGCTTCTCACTGGTATCTGAAACTGGGTAAATATACGTTAAATATTTATTGAGGTGTTTGGTACAAGTCTGACTTTGAGAACAATGACTGAATCTGTGAGAAAAGGTGAGTTCAAATGTTATCAAATGTCCAACTCAGTCATAAGAAAATACTGAATACAACTAGAGGGATCAGTTATTTATTTTCCATTTCTGCAAATATAGCAAACAACAGCATCAAGGACATGCACAAGTTATACAACCATCACCACTATCCGTTTCCAGAACCTTGGCATCATCCCCAGTAGAAACTCTGTACCCTTAAACAATAACCTTCAATTCTATTCTCTCATACCCTGAGAGCCTCAATGCTACTTTCTCTTTTTTTTTTTTTTAAGATTTATTTATTAGAAAGGCAGAGTTACAGACAGGCAGAGGCAGGGAGAGAGAGAGAGAGAGTGAGAGAGAGAGAGAGAGAGAGAGAGAGAGAAGTCTTCCATCCGCAGGTCCACTCCCCAAATGGCTGCAATGGCCGGAGTTGGGCCAGTCCAAAGCCAGGAGCCCAGAGCCTTCTCTGGGTCTCCCATGGGAGTGCAGGGGCCCAAGGACTTGGGCTATCTTCTACTGCTTTCCCAGGCCATAGCAGAGAGCTGGATCAGAAGTGGAGTTGCTGGGACTCGAACAGGTGTCCAGATGGTATGCTGGCATTGCAGGCAGTGGCTTTACCTGCTATGCCACAGTGCCGGCCCCATCAATGCTACTTTCTATCTTTATGAGTTTGCAGATTTTCAGCAATTCATCCAAGTGGAATATTTGTCCTTTTATGTGTAATTATTTCACTTAACATGCCTTCAAGGTTTGTCAGTGTTGTAGTGTGTCTCAGAATTTTTAATTCCTCTTTAAAGTAGAATAATTCTCTATTAACTGTATAAGCCACATTTTGTTTACTCACTTGTTGATGAACATTTGGACTGCTTCACCTTTTGGCTAATGCAAATAATGCTGCCATGGATATTGGTGTAAAAATATCTGATCAAGTCCTTTCTTTCAATTCTTTTGGGTTTCCATCAAGCAGTGGAATTGCTGTGTTGCATGGTATGAAAATTCTATTTTTAGCTCTTCAAGGAACTTCTAAATTTCCCGTAGTGGCTGCACCATGTTTACACACCCACCAGCCATGCACAGAGTTCCAATTTCTCCACATCCTCCCTGGAACTGAATGTTTTTTTAATATATAAATTAGCCATCTTAGTGGGTGTGAGGTGATATTTTGTAGTAGTTTTGATTTGCATTGCCTTAATGATTAATGATGTTGAGCATCTTTTCATATGCTTATTAGTCATTTATCATGTATTCATGTCCCTTGCCCTCTTTTGAAAGGGGTTTGGTTTTGTGTTGTTATTGTTGAGTTGTAGGAGTTCTTTGTATGTTCTGGATTTTAATCCCTAATCAAATCTTTGCAAATATTTTCTCCCATTCTGCAGGTTGTCTTTCACCCTCTTGAAAATGTCCCTTGATGCACATAAGCTACTCTTGGCACAGGTCTGCATGATTTCCATGGCCTCCCTGCCGTTCTTCCTGCTCAGTCTTCCTTTATTTCTTTTTTTAATAATATCTTTTTTAATTTTTATATAAGGTATATAAATTCATACATACAGATTTGAGAGTGTAGTGAAAACAGCATCTTTTTCTTTTTTTTTTTTTTTTTTTTTTTTGTGACAGGCAGAGTGGACAGTGAGAGAGAGAGACAGAGAGAGAAAGGTCTTCCTTTTTCCATTGGTTCACCCCCCCAATGGCCTTTGTGGCAGGCGCACCGCGCTGATCCGAAGCCAGGAACCAGGTGCTTCTCCTGGTCTCCCATGGGGTGCAGGGCCCAAGCACTTGGGCCATCCTCCACTGCCTTCCCAGGTCACAGCAGAGAGCTGGACTGGAGGAGGGGCAACCAGGACAGAATCCCGTGCCCCGACCGGGACTAGAACCCAGTGTGCCAGCACCACAAGGCAGAGGATTAGCCTATTGAGCCGGGGCGCCGGCCTGTCTTCCTTTATTTCTGTCCATTTCCCACAAAGCACCCATGGTGACCTTTCAGAAACATCAGTGAGATTAGGCCACTTCTCTGCCCCAATTCTCTGCTCATCCATCACTATCTCAGAGAAACCCTGTTTTCCACTCATCTTAAAAATCCCTACTTGGAAAATTTAAGTATTTACCAACGTGGCTGGCATGTGGTGTGGTGGGTTGGGCCACTGCCTGCAGCACCAGCATCCCATATGGGCACTGGTTCAAGTTCTGGCTGCTCTGCTTCCAATCCAGCTCCCTGCTGATGAGCCTGGGAGGTCAGTGGAAGATGCCCAGGTGCTTGGGTCCCTGCACTGTTGAGGGAGACCTGGGAGAGGCTCATGGTTCCAGGCTTTGACCTGGCCCAGCCCTGGTTGTTGTGGCTATTTGAGAGTGAACCAGCAGATGGAAGACTTCTCTCTATGTTTTTCCCTCTCTTTCTCTCTGTGGCTCTACCTTTCAAGAAGATAAAAATAAATCTTTTTAAAGTCCTGAAACAAATGTTTAAGTCCCAGACTACACAGACAGCCAAATGTGATGACTCATAGAACTACATCTCCAACCCAGAAAGCCCTAGTAAAGTTCAGATTTGCACTTTTGAACTTCTTAATGACAGTCCCACTGGGATGGGACTCCTTCAACTCCTTATGTCTAAACTTGAACGCACTATCTCCTCTGCAAATCTGAGTTCTCTTGCTCAAAACACTATTTGGCCATTCACCCATCCAAGTACCCAAGTGCAAAGCCCAATCACCATTCTTGACTCAGCCTCTTGATACCAGTCATGATTAGGCCCAGGCTGCCTGCTGCTGCATAGTCAGCTCACCAGGGAAGAGTTAATTCGAGGAAACATGCCTATTCAAGAAGCTAGCATTCTTGGCATAAGAGCAGATCCTTTCATTCCAAAAGTGCTGTCTCCCAATTTGCAAGTTATCACAAGAACGTTTAAAAGGGGGAAAGGGGAGGTAGAGGAAGAATCAAGAGCAAAGGGAACAGAGAGTAGTGCCAGCTGCACACTGGCCCCTAGCCAAGCCTTAAGAGGCTTGTTGGAGTCACAGTGGTTACTCTCATCCCATGCTTACATAAATCTCTTGTTGTACTGACTGGGGTAGGCCAGATTCCTCTGTGGGTTCATCCAGCCTTCTCAAGGCCAATTTCTGGAATGCGCAAGCAAGCATTATTTTTTTTTTTATTTAATGAGCATAAATTTCCAAAGTACAGCTTATGGATTACAATAGCTTCCTCCCCCCTGTAACTTCCCTGCCACCCACAACGCTCCCCTCTCCCACTCCCTCTCCCCTTCCCTTCACATCAAGATTAATTTTCAATTATCTTTATATACAGAAGATCAATTTAGCGTATATTAAGTAAAGATTTCCACATTTTGCTCCCACACAGAAACACAAAGTATAAAATACTATTTGAGTACTAGTTATAGCATTAATTAAACACCTAAGAGTAATTGTGTATTAATTACAGAGTTCATCCAATAGTTTTAAGTAGAATATAAAATGCAACTTTTGTATTGTTGTGGCTTCCCCCCCTCCCGAACTTCCCTCCTTTCCGTGGCCCTCCCCTCTCCCACTCCCTCTCCCATCCCGCCCTTCATCACGTTTCATTTTCAATTACCTTCATATACTGAAGATCAACTTAGTATATACTGAGAAGGGATTTCAACAGGCTGCACTCACACAACCACACAAGGTATAGGGTATTGTTCGACTAGTAGTGTTGTTTTTGAGTTTCATAGTTAAACACTTTAAGGACAGAGATCCTACGTGGGCAGCATGAACCCAGTGATTCCCGTTGTTGATTTAACAATTGGCACTCTTATTTATGATGTCAGCAATCACCCGAGACTCTTGCTATGAGCTGTCTAGGCTATGGAAGCCCCTTGAGTTCACCAACTCTGAATTTGTTTAGTCAAGGCCGTATCACAGTGGAGGCTCCTTCCTCCCTTCAGAGAAAGGTGCCTCTCTCCTTGATGGCCTGATCCTTCTGCTGGGGTCTTGTTCACCAGGATCTTTCATTTAGATTGTTTTTTGCCACTGTGTCATGGCTTTCCATGCCTGTGAGACTCTCATGGACCTTTTAGTCGGATCCAAATGTCCCAAGGGTTGATTCTGAGGCAGGAGTGCTGTTTTGGGCATTTGCCATTCTATGAGTCTGCTGTGTGTCCTGCTTCCCCCGCAGGATCATTCTCTCCCTTTTGATTCTATCCTTCATTATTTGCTTACACTGGTCTTATTTGTGTAATCTCTTCGACACTTACCCTATCTTTTGGATCGGTTGTGTATTTATACTTATCACTTCACCAAGTGTGCTGGCATTGGTACCTGCCTCCTTGGTAAGGTTGAGTTGAAATCCCCTGGCACATTTCTAGTTCCACCATTGGAGGTAGGTCTGAGTGAGTATGTGCCGTCCTATATATCTCCTCCCTCTCTTATTCCCACTCCTATGTTTCACAGAGATCAATTTTCTGTTAATTTTTAAACGTCAAGCAAGCACTATTTATCTGTCAAATGGAACAGACTCTCCAGTCACAAGATCAGCAGTTAGCTTTGGTTAATCAGAACATGGAAAAGGGAAGGAAGATGTGTTCATTATGGATACTCCTCCTCCTCCTCCTGTCCTCATCAAGTCCTGACTCCTGACATCCTAAACATCCCTGCACACTGCCTCGCCCTCTGCATTCTCCTGGCGCTACCTCTGGAGCCATCACGGTCTTTCACTGGGATTATAAAAACAAGCCCTTGACTGATCTTCCTCCTGCAGTTTTGCCTTTCTCAGCATGTTGTCCAAGCAGCCACTGGAGAGATTCTCCTAAAACACTAATCTTAAATACTCCCATCTTTCAAAGGCTTACATCTTTCAGTACTACCCTAAAATGGAGCGCTGAAGCCTGAACAAGGCCTCCCTCCACTTCCCCCATCTCTCTTCCCTCTCCTTCCCCCATTCCTCTCTCCTCTGTCCTACCCAACATGCTAAGCCTCCGCTGTGCCTCCCTGCCATGCTCACTCCTCTGGAATCTTTCTCCTGTAACCCCCTGGCCCATTCTCCTATCACCCTCACCTGATGTCACTAACTCTTCTCCTCTAGATAGGATTCAAGATCACTTCCTCTTGGCCACTTCCCACCACCCCCAGGAAAATACTCCCAACAGCCTGTGCTTCTTTCATTTTAGACCACGGCTGGGATCAGTCTGTCTTCTCTGATAGAAGTGAAGCCCACGTGGACAGGGATGAGAGCTGGCTTATGATTGTGTCATCAACACAGAGCAGGGCTCCTGGCCACGACAGGGGTTCCACACATTTGTCAAGTGAAATCAGACATGAATGTGATGGCTTTGTACAAATCAAATACTTTTCTGAAATTTAACTTCTTTATTTATAAAATGGGGAGAATAATACCAACTTTATTGCCTCATCCTGGGAGTTTCAACTTACAAAGGAAAGTCCCTGAGCACCTGGCTGGTGCTAAAACATAATAAACAGTAGCTACTATTAAACACCCTATTACAGAACACTTTCTTAAACTTTGGGGGTCGTGGAACCTCTTCTATGGTCCTGTACTCTTTAACCCTCTACAAGTCTGAGTGGCCTAGAATTGTCTGCTTCTGTGTGAGAAACTGGCATTGTCACCGGAGAAAAGACCATGGAAGCAAGAAAAGAATGCAGGCATGAGACAGAGAGTAAAGTGATAAGGCTTTACTGGGGACAGGGCATCTGTCAGAAGGAAGGCACAGAGAGAGAGAGTGCCCAGTCGCTCAGACTGGGGCGAGAGCGAGGTTGAATGGAGAGAATACACCTGGGCAGGCTCAGCAGAGAGGCAGAGGGCTGAGCACACAGTCTGTTTGCACTCCCTAGGTTTGTAGGGGAGTCTGTTTACCCACCTCCCCTTTTCCTCCAGGACAAAGGATGGGGAGTCCTAGCAGAAGGGTTTGTTGAGTGAAAATTAGCAAATTCCTCCCCAGATTTGCTGGCACTCTTAGGGCGTCTGTGAAGGTTTTATTGCCCCATGTTATCAGGTCAGGTAGCCCATCTGGTTCTGAGGAAAGAATTCTCCTGGGAGCTTTCTTTGGGGGAAGGGCTGGTACCAGCTGGAAGGTACCAGGATCTGGGCAGGACTTCGAAGTGCAAAATGCTGGGCTTCTGGAGCTTCCCCAGTAGGTGCTGGTCTTCAGGCCTGTCTCACACACTCATAGGCTCAATTTCTGACTTCCTACCTAAAAGTATGGATTGCCATTAACCAAGGAAAAGATTCACTCCTAAGCACCGGCCAGCATTTTCTGCCTTCATTAGTGCTCCATGTGAACACCTGCTTTGTGTCTGCATCAAACCCATCCGTTGTCTTTTGGCAGTGCCTCAGAGGTGTTTTTCGAACAAGGACCTACAAGAATTGGAGGCTCTTATAAAAAGCTAGTTTATCGCGAGTACACAGATGCCTCCTTCACTGACCGAAAGGAGCGAGGCCCTGAAGAGGAACACCTTGGCCTGCTGGGTGAGTCTGAGCAGGACACAGGAGCGCGTCGTCGTTACACTCTCCCCCAGGAGCCACCAACCTCAGAAAGAACAGAAAAGCCAGGCCCTGCAGCGTGATTTCTACACGCAAGCTAGACGCAGGGAGCAGGGAACATCAATCAAACGCTGCAAATGACTTTCCCAGATGTAGATTCCCAATGCTGAATCTTAATCATTAAAAGCCATGCTGACTTCAAATGATTATTTTTGTTGTTGCTGTTCAAAGAGATAAAAGGAACTTGTGTGCTATGTGACTTGGTTTAAATATGTAACCAGGCCGTTAACTTCTGCTCCCAGCTGAAAGTACATTGCCTCAGAAAGAAAAGGCAGGCTACAGATGAGGAAGGCTGGATCTGTCCCAGGGCCCTGTGAGGGCGGGCCTGGGGCACAGCCCAGAGGCAGGCTCTCCCCCAATGCTCAGGCTGAACAGCAGAGCTGGGGAGCCCCGTCTGGATTCAGCAGAGGTCTGGATCCAGACGGTCCTTACTGCTCACCTACCATCTGTGTGACAGCTGACACTCAACTGCCTGTGGCTGTTCCCCTTCTGTACAATGGGAAGAATAATGGTTTTTGTCTCATCAAACTAGACAAGGATTAGATTTGTTAATACACATGAACACTCAGAACAGATAGGAAGCTCTCAGTAAGTGAACTATGTAAGTACTGCATATTTATGTTTTTATTCAATAATTGGTAATAACATTGATTGTGTGGTGGGAAATCTGAAAGTGTTACCCTTCACTTCCAAGACAATTGAACTTGCCTGCTTTAGGTGGTACAACTTTGTAGCACCCTCTGACCTGAGGATAAAGGCACACATCTAGAAGACTAGGGTGAGGAGAGTGTAGACTTGCTGAAAAGCTTTTTGTAGCTGTCTATAGTTTATTAACTGTCTTAGACAAAAATGACAACCAACTTCATTAATTTGAAGTTGGGTCAAAAAGTTCTTACTTCTTTCCAACCTTACCACGTCAGATTAAATATGGATTTATTATTTTTTGAAGATTTATTTTATTTATTTGGAGGTCAGAGTTACATGCAGAGAGAGGTCTTCCATTTGCTAGCTCACTCCCCAAATGGCCGCAATGGCTGGGGCTAGGCCAGGCTGAAGCCAGGAGCCAGGAGTTTCTTTCAGGTCTCCCACATGGGTGCAGGGCCCAGGCACTTGAGCCGTCTTCTGCTGCTTTCTCAGGTGCATTAGCACGGAGCTGGATTGGAAGTTATGCCCATATGGAATGCCAGTGCCACAGACAACAGCTTTAGCCATCATGTCACAATGCCAGCCTCAATAACAGACTTAGTAAAAATCAGACTTTCCACCTGCCACAAATAAGCATGTTTCTCCCAGTGGTGCTTGCCAGAGGGCACAAACAGAGAAAATAACTGTTTTGTATACTCCGTGTGTTATACAGCAAGGAAGGATAATATTTCTCTTTGTCCCTAGGTCCTGTCATTTGGGCAGAGGTGGGAGACACCATCAAGGTCACCTTCAAAAACAAAGGACCGTTTCCCCTCAGTATTGAGCCAACTGGGGTGAGGTTCAGTAAGGACAATGAGGGCACATTCTATGCCTCACATTCCAGCTCGAGTGGGGGTGAGTACAGCCCTCTGTAGCCGGCCATAGTGTTGACTAACCCACTGTTAGTGTCCTGCAAAAGCTGAAGGGAGCAACTGCTCACGTATTGTCTTCATGCCAAAAAGCAAACAGACCTTTGCTCCTACCATTTTCAATTGGTTTGTGGGATTTTGTCCTGCCCTAATTTGATGAGTATTGATAATGCTGATAGTAATTTAGTTGGGTTATAACAAGTCGGAATTTCTGAAAGACTATTTGGGTGATTTTCAATTTTAAAAATGTGATTGTAGAGGTTAGAGGCTTAAGAATATTTGAAAAACATAAAAAGTTACAGCCAAAAACATCAATTACCAATAGTTCTATGAACAACCATGACCACTATTATATTTTGATGTAATTCTTCAACTTTCATTTGTGCACATAAATATATATTTTAAATATGGTACAGATCATGAATTAAATATACAAGTGGCCTTCACATCACCATTTAATTCCATTTTCCAAGAACTTTTTGAAATACCTTTGTATATTTATACTTGTATACACAGAGTTTGTTCTCCTAGTTAGCACTGTAGGCATTTACAAATATAACTTTAATGTAACAAAACATTCTATTATGTGAAGGGGTTTGAGTATATTTATATATGAAGGCTGACCAGTGAAGCCTCTGTGTTACCACATCCAGTCTGACTATGGGAGGTAATTCAGTCCTTCTGGCCTCAGTGTCCTCAAGTGTAAATCTGAGCTATATGAGCAGGATCATTTGCAAAGTTCCTGTCAGTTCTATGGTTATTGTCAAGTTCAGTTTTGTTCAGCACAACCTGCGTGGCCTACTCCCTTGCCAGGCACTGCTGCAGGTGATGCAGAGAGAGAAAAGCAAAGCAAAATTCTGTTTGGGAGAGAAACACACACAATAAAGATGAAAAGTTCTAGGGATGTTTTAGGGGTGTTTGGGTACAAAGAGGGGCACCTGGGGCTATCACCCTTGTTACCTGACACAGGAGCACCCATGGATTCCATTCTAACTCATGCAGAGGTGGGTTTTCAGCCTACATTCAACCCTATCGACGTTGTGGTTAGAATGGCCACGTTAGAAAGCACACTTAACCTTAAGCAGTGCGACCTTCTCACAGGTGGGCCTCGTCCTTCAGCCTCCCATGTGGCTCCCAAAGAAACCTTCACCTATGAATGGACTGTTCCCAAGGAAGTGGGACCTACTTATGCCGACCCAGTGTGTCTGTCTAAGATGTATTATTCTGCTGTGGACCCCACCAAGGATATATTCACTGGGCTTATTGGGCCAATGAAAATATGCAAGAAAGGAAGTTTACATGCAAATGGAAAACAGGTGAGACTAATCATGGAAAATGAAAGTGAATTGCCTGTGTCTTTGAATTATAATTGTCATAGGAAGTTTCTGAGTTTTGAGGCAGTGAAGATTCTATGCATAATACTTTTTATAAATTTTTCAGGTTTATAAAATCTGTACTGTGTCAAGATCTTCTGGCTAACATAATTGTTCCAAGACGAGCTGGAAACAAAATTTTTCCATGAGATTCAAGATCTTTTATAATAAAATTAAACTCTAACACACACATTTTATTTATTTATTTATTTATTTATTTATTTATTTTTAAAAGATTTTTATTTATAGGCCAGCACCGCGGCTCACTTGGCTAATCCTCTGCCTGCGGCACCGGCACTCTGGGTTCTAGTCCCGGTTGGGGCGCCGGTTCTGTCCCGTTTGCTCCTCTTCCAGTCTAGCCCTCTGCTGTGGCCCGGGAGTGCAGTGGAGGATGGCCCAAGTGCTTGGGCCCTGCACCCCATGGGAGACCAGGAGGAGGCATCTGGCTCCTGGCTTTGGATTTGCGCAGCGTGCTAGCCGCAGTGCACTGGCCGTAGCGGTCACTTGGGGGGTGAACCAGTGGAAAAAGGAAGACCTTTCTCTCTCTCTCTCTCTCTCACTGTCTAACTCTGCCTGTCAAAAAAAAAAAAAAAAGATTTTTATTTTTTATTTGACAGAGTTACAGACAGTGAAAGAGAGAGAGAGAGAGAGAGAGAGAGAGAGGGAGAGAGAGAGAGAGAAAGGTCTTCCTTCTGTTGGTTCACTCCCCAAATGGCCACAATGGCCGGAGCTATGCCAATCCGAAGCCAAGAGCCAGGTGCCTCCTCCTGGTCTCCCATGCGGGTGCAGGGCCCAAGCACTTGAGTCATCCTCCACTGCCTTCCCAGGCCACAGCAGAGAGCTGGACTGGAAGAAGAGCAACAGGGACTAGAACCTGGCGCCCATATGAAATGCCGGCACCACAGGTGGAGGATTAACCTAGTGTGCCACGGCGCCAGGCCCTAACACACACATTTTAAAAACCACTCATTAATGATATTGATTCAATTAACACTGAGGGAAATATTGCCTAAAATATCTTTTAGAAATGAGGAAAATAACTCTTTTACTATATAAACGGGAACACCTCTCCCAATCATTGTTTTTAGTTCTAAAATAAATACCTTAGTATATACCTTCAAATATGGATTCCTTTAAAATGTCCAAAATGTAATTATTATATCCAAGAATAATTACATATCATAACAACTCCTTAATATCATCAAATATTTAATGCTTACATTTCCCCAATTGTATTATAATTGTTTTACATTTTTGTTTCAATCGATATTCAAATAATTGCACACATTACAATCCACTGATGTTTCTTGAGATTATTTTCTTGCACTGTTTCTATTGTAAGTGTCATCAATCCTGTGGCAATTTCCCATGTCTGGATCTCCTTATTGATAATGATCCTGCGCTATCATTTAACATATTTCTTTCTCTCCCCTTCCATTCCTCATAAAGCAATGGCTAGGTCTAAAGGTTTAATATGACTCATTAGGTATTTTTTTTTCTTGCAAGATTACTTCAATGTGATCCTGGGGTTCTTCTATCAGGGAATACATAATGTATGATTGTCTCACCACTAGGGATCTTATCAGCTGCTGATGACCACTGCCTACACCTTTGCACTAATCAGAGGTGACCGGATGCTAGTGTTCTAACCCAATCATTCTTTCTTAATTGGCTGAAGCAGAAGCTTCACTTAATGGGTCATTTGGCTACTCCGAGGTACTTATTATATAGAAAGGCAATGACAGATACTTGATCCTGTTTCCTGTGCTTACAAGTCTTCAGGTTAGTAGTGCTTTTCCAGTATACTTCAAAACTTCTGAATAGTTTCTGATCATTTGAAGCAGCATTGTGAATTCATGGATTTAGGTATTACTTGGTGTGTTTCAATTCAGTACCACCATCCTTGATGGTCAAAGAATGCTTTGACACTGGGGGGCTTATTGCCTTCATTTTTATGTGACCTTCTTTGCTTTCTAACATAAGGTATTTCAAGCTCATCTTGAACATTTCTCTCTCTCTCTCTCTCTCTCTCTCACACACACACACACACACACACACACACACACATTGAGACTCAGAGATAGACAGAGCTCCCATCTACTGGTCTACTCCCTATAAGCCCAGAAGCCAGAAACTCATTCCAGATCTCCCACATGCATGGCAGGTAACCAACTACTTCAGCAGTTCCTTGCTGCCTCCTAGTGTCTGCATGAACAGGAAGCTGGAATCAGGAGCAGAGCTGGGTATGAACTCAGGCACTGATACTGCATGCAGGCATCTTAACCATTAGGCCAGACCCTTGCACCCCAATGTCTCCTACTATGAACACTGCTGTATTTAACATGTTTTTTCTTTTATTTTTTCATTTTTGACAGGCAGAGTGGACAGTGAGAGAGAGACAGAGAGAAAGGTCTTCCTTTGCTGTTGGTTCACCCTCAATGGCCAAGGCAGGAGCCAGGTGCTTCTCCTGGTCTCCCATGGGGTACAGGGCCCAAGCACTTGGGCCATCCTCCACTGCACTCCCTGGCCACAGCAGAGAGCTGGCCTGGAAGAGGGGCAGCCGGGACAGAATCCGGCACCCCGACTGGGACTAGAACCCAGTGTGCCGGCGCCGCAAGGCGGAGGATTAGCCTAGTGAGCCGCGGCACCGGCCAACATGTTGTTTTTTGTTTTAGCTAAACCTTAGAACATGTCTATGTTTTTTTCATTGGAACAAATCCTGGAAGTTGACTTTCTAGGTCACAGATGAGACACAACTTTAAATGTTAACTGCTTTCCATAAAGTAGCATTTTTCAAACCGCAGATCATAAGTCATTTAGTGGGTTACCACTAGTGACTAGAATTTTTAATAGTATCCACCTTTAAAATATCAGAGTATACCACAAGTAATAAAGACAAGCATAGTTAAGAGTTTAATGAAATTTCTTATTTGATTAGTGAGTGTGTGTTTGTGTTTAGGCTCACAATGTGAAATGTATCTTAGGTGGCTGTAATTGAAAACTTTGAAGTCACTCTCCTAAAGTCCATGAGAGTGGCTGTTCGCCACTCTCTTACCAAGACTGAGTATACTTTTAATTATTACAAACTTCACAGGTGAAATTCAGTACTTCATTCTCATTTAAATTTGTAATTTGATTACTGTATTAGGTTTATTGACATTTGTACTTCTTTTGTCAATTTCCTGATGGCAGTCTTCTATTTTTAGTTGTTTATGTCTTCATACAATACTTGTAATTAAGCCATATAATGTGTATATATGTGTATATGTACATATTATCTTTTTCATGTACAATGCAGATTTTCTTTTTCTGTTCATGTTTTGTGCTTTCTAATTTTTTCATAATTGGTTAGGATTGGTGTTTTGTATTTTTTATTTTGTTTGTTGGCCTGTGATGATGTAGCTGTTTTCAACTTTACACAGCCAAATTACCAATACCTTTCTTGATGAATTTTTGCCTTTTGTATCATGCTTAGAAAGTTATTTCCCATTCTATAAGTCTATAAATATTAAGTTATATTTTAATTCCCTAAAAGTGGTACTTGTAACTAGTTGCGTTTGTTGAGTAGAACTCTAAATTTTTGTTATTTATTTATTTGAAAGGCAGAATGATAGAGAGGAGAGGAGAGAGAGAAAAGAGAGGGAAGAGAGAGAGCAAGAAAGATTTTTCCATCCACTGGTTCACTCCCAAATGCCTTTAACAGCCAAACGAAAAGCAGGAGCCAGGAACTTCACCTGGTTTCCCACATGGGTGGCAGAAATGCAAGTGCTTGAGCCATCATCTGATGCCTTCTAGGAGCATTAGCAGGAAGCTGGATCAGAAGCAGAGTCAGGACTCTCTCCCAGGCACGCAAAATGGGATGTGGTCATCCCAAACAGTGGCTTAACCAATTTTTTTTAAACAGCTATATGAACAAATCTGTTTTTTATCTATTGGCTTAAAGTGTCACCTTAATCATATCCTATATTCTACATATATCTGGATCATTCTTCTAGGTTTGCTAGGTTTACGTGATCTCTATGTCCCAATACCAGTGACATATTGTACTGTTGCAGCTTAGTGTTCAACAAATGATAGAGTATGTTCCTCCTTGACTTCAAAGGGAAGGTTTTTTCTTCTCTTTTAGATTGTTCTTAATTACCCTCACACATGCATTCTTCAGACTGACTTTAAAATAATTTTGTCAAGCCCAAAGCTGTCATGATGTGGTTTTTTTGGAATTTAAGTGTCTCACTTTAGTTGGAGAAAATGCATCTAACTGCATTTAGCCTTTTACTTAGGACCATTTATTTCAAGTTGTCTTTTTGATTATTCAGTAAGTTTTTCTAGTTTTTTTTCATATCAGTGCTGAATATTGGTTTCTAAATTGACTTGTCATAGAAACAAGCTATGATTTGCTTAACATTCATTTTGTAACTGGACATTTAAAATTGGCATTTTTAAATTCAAATAATTGCCTGCTGATTCATATAGGTTCTATAATATCTACAGATAATGCTAATTATCTTCTCTTTGCCAGTATTTCATCTTGTGCTACTTTATTGCCTTATTGTAATGGGCAGAACATTTAAAAATATGTGGTAACAACTGCTGGCTTGATTTTGTGTCAGATCTTAATGAGAACATCTCTATTATTTTACCACTAAGAATAAGATGACTACTCCTCGTTCTTTATGCTATTTCTAGATTACTATGAATGTTCTTCTATTTAAAAAACAAATCACTTGAGCCACTCCATTAGCATCCTGTACTAGGCACAGAACTCATTGGTAAATAGGACTAGTCAGTTTCCTGGTCTAACAGGGTTTATTTGCTAGTGCTTTGGGTGGCAGTAAAGGGAGGAAATAAGCAAGCATTAAAATTAAAAAAAAAAAAAAAACTTCAGAAAGTTCCAAGAGCTTTAAAACACAAAGTACAATAATAAAATCGTGAACAGAAATCCTAATTTCAGATAAGGTAGAAATAATAGTTAAGGTGATAGCTAAATTTCAAAGAGGCAGCCTTACAAAGATCTGGGGAAAAAGCAAAGCTAGTGTCAGATTGGGACATTTCATAAAAATTTCTTTTTAGCTTTCCTTAAAATTGTTACATAGTTTTGCTCATTGGATCTATAAACTTGACCAACATTAACAATTTCCTAATGTTAAACTATTCTCGTACTTCTGGGAAAAAAAAACATTACTGAGTATGATGTTTTTATTTAGACTTTCTCAACTAACCTTATAAATGAGAAACTGCTTTTTCTGATATTTACATCATTAATATATTAAAATAGTTACACTATCTTCATTAAGTAAATTGAGAAGATTTCCATTTAAAAGTATTGTGATAAAGTTTAAATAGTAGGAAATAATCTGATTATAGATTTAAAAGAAATGGCCTGTGAAATTATGTTTGACTTTGTAGGAGTGTTTGGCTTAGCAGTTAAGGTGCTGGTTACGATGTCTGCTTCCCATATTAGAGTGCCTGGATTTGAATTCCAGCTCTGGCTCCTGATTCCAGGTTCCTGTTAATGTAGACTCTGGGAGGCAACAGGGATGACTCAAGTAATTGGGTTCCTGCAACCCATGTTGGGGACATGAATTGAGTTTCTGGTTCACAGTTTTGGCCTTGGTCTAGCCTTGGCCATGGCAGGCATTTTGGGAGTGAACCAACAGATGGGAGCTCTATATATCTGTCTCCATCTCTCTCTGTCTCTCTGCCTCTCAAAAAAAAAAAAAAAAAAAAAAAAGTTAAAGAAATCAAGAGGAATTTTATTGTTTATGTTTCTTGTTTATGTTTCTAGCCACCATTTTTATTTCATCCATGAATATTGTTCTATTCAGACCCTCTTCCTAAGTCGGTGCATTGATCACATTTATTGTGCATAATCATTTTCACTTTTCCTCCCCTGTATAGGTACTTATATTCCTTTTTCATTCCAAATATGATATATTTTGGTTATTTCCATTTTTATAAAGATTTATTTATTTAAAAGGCAGAGGTACAGAGAGAAAGTGGGAGAGAAAAAGAGAGAGAAATTTTCCATCACTTGGCTCACTCCCCAAATTGCTAGAACAGCCATTGCTGGGCCAGACCAAAGCCAGGAGCCAGGAGCTTCTTCCAGGTCTCCCACGTGGGTGAAGGGGCCCAAGCACTTAAGCCATTTTCCGCTGTTTTCACAGGCACATTAGCAGGGATCTGGATAGCAAGTAGAACAGCTGAGATTTCAACTGGTATACATATGGGATGCCAGTGTCACAGGTGGCAGCTTAACCTGCCACAATGCCAGCCCCATCATTTTTAATTATATTTCCAGCTTTATGTATTTCATTGGTTTTCTCAACTAATACATTCTTTAGGCTGAGATTTTTGTGTTCTAATTTATTACTCTCTACTTTAGTCTTTATTATTTTCCTCTTAACTTTATAAAATTTTCAAATATTACATTACTTTTATTTAATTTTGCTTAAAATAAAAAGCATTTCAGATTCTGTTTTTATTCCAAACATTTTGTAGTGTTCTCAAGGATATTACTTATGGAATACCTAGTAATTCATTTTTATTTCCACTTTGATCTAAGAGCTATTTAGATCAAATATGGTACTCTTAAATTTTTAAAACATTTTGTCCTTAGGACAAATTTTTAGTTTCGTTGCATTATAATTAGAAAATAAATTTTTCATTGAAGTTTTCTCTGTTCAGTATGTAAGTGATTGTGATGGTTCCTGTTGGCATCATCCTTTTACATTTGAAAATACATGTTGTTGTCCTTCACCCAGTGTTGAATTTTTGTATCACAATCTTTTCTCAAAAAAGGGAAATGACAATCTGATTTCTCCAATTTATGGGAACATTTAAAAACATGGATTAATTTCTATCTCTGAAATTCAAAACTGTTACCAGGATATTTTTAGGTATTGCATTATATTTTTATCTATTACTAATTTTGTCTTATTTTCAGTGAAACTTTTTAAAAATATATATTTATTTGAGAGGCAGAGAGAAAGATCCAGTCTCCTGGCTCACTCTTCAACTGGCTCCAAGCCAGCAATGGTGATGTTGACCCAGGGTTCTTTAGGTCACCTGCAAATAAAAATTGACAAAATGTCAATGTTCAACCCAGACAAGGTTTAATGGGGGCTTATGCACAAGCACCAGGGTGTCAGCAATGAGGAACAAGTTCCTCATTGGTTTGATCGTGGTGGGAAGGCATGGCCACACCATCTTGGTCTCTGGCTTCTCCCTAGACACAAGGAACTTGTATTTGTACCCAGCTTGGTGTTCTGGGCAGGCGCAATTGCTTCTTTTGCATGATATGCTCAAAACAGTATTGTTGCTCATAACTACCTTCCCAGGAAAGTCCTATAAAACTCATAGTGGGCTATTCTGGGCATGTGCATGGATTGTTGAAAGTCCCTACACAGGCAGTGAAGGGCTTTTGTGGTTAGGTTCTGGATGCTGCTTGCTCCTGATTGGTTTGGAGCGAGATGAATATATCTTCGAGTCAGGAGATGGATATGTTTTGGGTCAGGAGGGCTTGATCTTGTGAGTCCTGTTTATATGCTGCTTCAAAGGGAATTCAATCCAAGTCTCTCTCATGGGTGGGAAGTACATATCATCTCTGCCTCCCAGGATCTGCACCAGAAAGCTGGAGGTATAAGCCAGAGCCGGGCACTGAGTCCAGGCATTTGATATGGAATGTGAGCATCCTCACTGCTGGGCCATACAACTGCCCCGCAGTGAAACACTTGAATCTGAATACCCTGGTTTGTTTTTTTTTTTTTTTTTTTCCTTTAATGGTGATGAACACTTTCACCATTCTTCAAGATTGTGTCTCCCCTTTTCCTTCTTTTTTCCTAAATTTGTTACTGCAAGCGTATTTTTCCTCTTGAATCCTTTCCTCTGACTTCCAGCTTTCTTTAGATCACTTTAGAGAACAGTTGATCCAGTTCTCTGCCTGTTGTATATTTTCAATCGGATAATCATGTTTTTCACCTGAAAAATGCTCTCAAGGAAGATCATGCAATACTCTCTAAAGTTTTCTCCCCTTTATGGGAGTAACACTCTCACGGGCTCATATGATTTGAATCCTTCTTCCCCGTGACTGGATCATTGCACAGACCAGACAGCATGCCCGCTTCCTTCCTTTTCACTGGGAGTTGGGGAAGAGGGTAAGAATGTTTGTCCAGCTGCATGGAGATTGTGGGAATCCCTGTACCAGTTCACTGGCAGGTTATTTCTTCACTTCCGATGACTAGGTCCTCAAACTTCTTCCACCCTGCTCTTACAGGAATTCTTTGAGTTTTCGTGAATGTGGATGTCAAATTCCCTTTTTCCAGCAGACACTCAGATCCCATCTCTACTCACACCCCCCCCCCCCATTTTAACTATTTTTTTAATGGTTTCGATTGGTATGGGCAACCTGGGCAGCAAGACAGGAAGAATCAGAACTTGCAGATACAGAGAGAGGCTCAGATTACCGTACTTAACCATAAATCCAATCAACAAATTAATGGAAACTTCAGTGGGTCAACTGAAATGTTTTAGGAGCCAAGCCCTAGTTCAAAGAAGAAAAAGAAATTTGTTTTCATTTTTTCCTTTAGCCTTTGTGTGCATAAATACTATTGTGTCCATGTAAATCTTCAGCATTACTTATTCTGTCTTCACCTCATTGTTCTTGATTGACAGAAAGATGTAGACAAGGAGTTCTATTTGTTTCCCACAGTATTTGATGAGAATGAGAGTTTATTCCTGGATGATAACATTAAAATGTTTACAACTGCACCTGATCAGGTGGACAAGGACAATGCTGATTTTCAGGAATCTAATAAGATGCACTGTAAGTATGGCACCATTCACCAATCTATGAAGTTATTTCAGTATTGCATATGTAGTGCTTTCTGTTAAAACAAACTGCAAACAGCTTTGCTCACTGGTTAATTTTCACTAACGATTAAGTGCAATGGTGCTCTAAGGGAAATACCACAGGTTATTTAATGTGTTGGCCAATTACTCAACATTTCACTTACCTGGGAGTCATCAGACAAAGTATGTTAGATGAATGATCCTTAAGGTGTGGTCCCTGGATCAGTCGCCCCAGCATCGTATGGAGACTTGTTAGAAATGGAAATTCTTGGGCCCCAACCCTGAATCAGAAAGAGATATGGGTTCTTGCAATGTGATTCTGATAAATGCTCAAGTTGGAGAGCTACTGGATTGGAGGCTCTTCTCATCTGTAGCTCAATGACAGGCTCATCTGATGACTTAAAGTGTAGAAAGATATGAGCTCTGCCTTACCATTGCCCAGGACAGTCTCCAGGGAGTTTTATTTCACTGGAAGCTAGCAGCAAATTTACTTTTAGTTCCCAAAGTGATATTAAAAAGTTGTTTAGAGACAGTGAGCTAATTGTTCAAAAGGCCCACAGAATTCATGGACAACATAGAAATTACTGTGGCTAGTAGAAGAAAAAGTGTAAAATTGTATTACAAATAGATGTTTTTCTCAGCTGGACTGACACTAGTCACATTGTCCCTAATCTATAAAATAGGTATTTTTTTTCTGCATTTTTGCATTTGGAAACTGTCAAAAATATTGCCCACTGGGACAGATATGTGAAGTAACAGTTAAAGTGCTGATTGAGATGCCCATAGTCCACACTGCAGTGCCTGGAGTCAAGATCCAGCGCCACTCCTGACTCCAGCTTCCTGCTACTATGCTCCCTAGAAGGCAGCATGCGACTCCAAATGGATCCTTGCACCCAAGTGGGAGAGCAGGATTGAGTTCTTGACTCCTTCCTTCCTTCCTAGAACCAGGCACTCAGCTCTGCTCCCTTTCAACCAGGGCTGCTCTGCAGATGCTTGGGACAGTCGGGGATTTGAAGTGACTGACACTCCTGACACAAAAAAGGATGGGAGGCCTGAATGGGTCTTTTTGTTTCTAAACTATTTTTTTAAGGATAGGCAGAGTGGACAGTGAAAGAGAGAGGCAGAGAGAAAGGTCCTCCTTCTTCCGTTGGTTCACCCTCCAATGGCCGCCACTGGCCGGCGCACCACGCTGATCCGATGGCAGGAGCCAGGTGTTTTCTCCTGGTCTCCCATGGGGTGCAGGGCCCAAGCACTTGGGCCATCCTCCACTGCACTCCCTGGCCACAGCAGAGAGCTGGCCTGGAAGAGGGGCAACTGGGGCAGAATCTGGCACCCCGACTGGGACTAGAACCTAGTGTGCCAGTGCTGCAAAGCAGATGATTAGCCTAGTGAGCTGCGGCGCCAGCCTGAATGGGTCTTTTAAAAGTGACAAAAACAAGGTTGGCTTTGGAAAGTCTGGGAACTTGTCGTAGAGTAGGACTCAAATCACTTTCCAATGTTGTTTCCCACGTTCACAGCCATGAATGGATTTATGTATGGGAATCAGCCTGGTCTCAGCATGTGCCAGGGAGATTCAGTCTCGTGGTACTTGTTCAGTGCTGGAAATGAGGCCGATGTACATGGAATATACTTCTCAGGAAACACCTATCAGTCAAGAGGAGAAGTGAAAGACACCGCGAACCTCTTCCCTCAGACAAGTCTTACGCTGCTCATGAGGCCTGACACAGAAGGTACAGTTCCTTAACGCTAGGAAAAGTCTCTAGTGCACCAATCGGTGTGGCTTTTTGAAATCCTACAGAACATGATGAGTGAGCTCATCCCTTCCCCGAGCCTCCCAAGTGCCTTTTCTTCCCTTGAAAGAGGCAGTCTGGGGGCCAGCGCTGTGGCATAGTGGGTAAAGCCTCTGCCTGCAGTGCCGGCATCCCATACGGATGCTGTTTCGAGCCCTGGCTGCTCCACTTCTGATCCAGCTCTCTGCTATGGCCTGGGAAAGCAGCAGAAGGTGGCCCAAGTCCTTGGGTCCCTGCCTCCATGTGGGAGACCTGAAAGAAGCTCCTGGCTTCAGATTGGCGCAGCTCCGGCCATTACAACCAATTCGGGAGTGAACCAGCAGATGGAAGACTGACTCTCTCTCTCTCTCTCTCTTTCTCGCTCTTTCCACTTCTCCTTCTCTCTGCGTAACTCTGACTTTCAAATAAATAAATAAATCTAAAAAAAGGGGGGGGGCAGTCTGGACCACTGTGGCCTGACACACACGTGGGCTAGGTCTGTTTCCTTTTTATTGGGAAATGGGGAGCAAGAAGAGTGGGTGATGGTTTCCTCCATTTCCACATAGAATTCTCAAGGTGATCCCTTTTAATTATGGCTCTTTTAAAGGTGCAGACTACAGGGGAAATGACTCCCACAGACTCCACATCTAAACTTTTAAAAATAGTTATTTATTTATTTGAGTGTTAAAGTTCTAGAGGGAGGGAGAGACAGAGAGACAGACCTTCCATCCACTGGTTCACTCCCCAAATGGCTGCAATAGCCAGAGCTGAGCCCATCCGAAGCCAGGAACCAGGAGCTTCTTCCAGATCTCCCACATGGGTGCAGGGGCCCAAGGACCTGGACCATCTTCCACTGCTTTCCCAGGCCATGGCAGGAATCTGGATTAGAAAATGAGCAGATGGGACACGAACTGGTGCTCATATTGATGCCAGCGCCACAGGTGGAGGCTTAACCTACTGCACCACAGCACCGGACCCTGCATCTAAACTTTGAATCACATCTCTACAGCCTAGGTATAGTGTTGGCCTGTTGGTTGCTTGCAAATGAATTATTCTATATTAGAACTATTGCCATGTAAATTCAGAAACACCTACAGATCTAGCTCTGAAAGAGTAAAACAAACTAAAAAAAAAGAAAGAATTTTAATCAGAATGTGAAAAATATGCTTTTATTCGGTTCATTATTCGCCATTAAAATATAAGACAGATCCAATGTCATCATTTCCTTCATTTGTCTGACAACGTAAATACAACCATGAACAAAAAAGATGAATCAATGTACAAAAGTGTCTCATGGAGCTGAAATTCTAATGCAGGGAAAAAGACACAAAAAAGTAGATAGATAGATAGATAGATAGATAGATATGTAAAGCACTTATTAGTACATGAAGAAAAATAAGGCAGCAGAAAGAATGGTGATCTATAGGAGGAGGTATCAAGAGTCTCTCAACAGGAGACAAGGGCTATAAAAAATCATTGAATCTCAAGATGTCTATTTCACTCCAGTACATTAGATTTCAGGTACTCTGTTACTTAGAATCAGGAAAAACAGATGATATCTGTCTTCTTGGGACTGGCTTATTTCACTAAGTATAATGGTTTCCAGTGCTTTTGTTTGTTTTTCTCTTCATACTATTTGTTGAACTCTTTCACTTAGTGTAGGGTTAACCTTATGATCATTAAGTAAATTAAATATAGATCTTTGTAAAAATTAAGAGTGGGAATAGGAGAGGGAGGAGGAAGAGGGTTGGAGTTTGGGTGGGAGGGAGGTTGGGTGGGAAGTAACACTATGTCCCCAAATCTGTATATATGAAATACATGAAACTTATATAACTTAAATAAAATTAAAAAAGATTATCTCAGTGGGTGATAGTAGGCATAATGGATTAAGCTGCTACTTGGGGCACCTAAATGGCTACTCTGCTTCCAATCCAGCTTCCCACCAATGTATCTTGGTAAACTCAAGTGCTTGGGCCCCTGCCCAAGTTCCTAGCTCCTGGCTTAGACTTGACCCGGATTTGGCTGTCGTGGGCATTTGAGAATGTGGGGAGCAATCCGGACTAGACTAAGTTACTCGAATTAGGACTTATTCTATGCATCTGCTCTCCCACAATATGGCGCTGGGAGAGAAGTAAACAGCTTCCGCACAGCTGCCTCCAGTTCAACCAATTAACTGTAGGACTTGCTCCTGATTGGAGAGCAGCGTACTCAGCCGAGTTGGGATTGGCGGAGGAGGACTATAAAGGAGGAGAGAGACGGCATGCACCAGGAACATCTATGGGGAACATCTAAGGGAACCCGTGCAGCCCCCGAGAGAGCCGGCCGGCGGTGTGCCGCTCCCCTGCGGAAGTGGGGAATGCGGCCAGGGGGAACTGCCCTTCCACGGAGGTGGAAGGGATAGTAGCCAACCCGGGAAGAACCAGCAGCAAACCCGGGGAGGGCCGAGCAGACGAAAGAACAGCGCAGGGTCCTGTGTCGTTCCCCCACGAAGACGGGGAGCGACATAATGGTGCCGTGACTCGGATATGAAGCCTAGGACGGATAGGAAACTTAGGAGGGAAGAAACGGGAAGAATTGGGAAAATACCGGAGAGAGAGACTAGCAAACAGCCTAGGGAAAAGCCGGACGAAAAGGGTGCCGGAAGAAGCTATTGAAAGCCTAGGCATAGACTCGGATACGGACTACGGGGGGAAGCTGGGAGAAATCTCTAAGGTCGAAAGCGAAAGTGAAAGCTAGAACAAACAGACTCGGATGCGGACTGTGGGGAGAGGCCAGGAGAAATGAGGGAGGAGTATTGTTGGAAGAAAACTTAGGGAAACATACCGGGTAGAGAAAAATGTTAGGGAAATTGAAGCCGCGGGGGGCAGGCCGAGGCGGAAACGAAAGCCACTTTGGGATTCTCAAGTTAGCCCGGGAATAGGGGGCGAAAAGTTGAAACCAGAAGCTGAAACGTAAGCCAGATTGGGACCCGTCTGATTAGCCTGGGGAGCAAAGGACGGGAAGCCAAACCGTGGGGCGGAGACGTAGCTGGGTTGAATTCGCCAGGCTAGCCCGGGGAACTTGGATTGAATGCTAGTGGTGGAGACGCAAGCTACGCTGTGTGACTCGCGGAGGCCGCCGCGTGCAGAGAGAGCACGGGGCGTGAGTAGATGGGGAGCGCGGGGCTGGCGCGAGGCCGTGGTTCAGACGCGAAAGGGTTAAGTGCGAGACTGCGGAGTGTGCGCGCAAAGCCGAGCCGCGCAGATGAGAGAGACGCGGGCTGAAGCGGCTCAGCCGGAAAGCCGCCGAGAAATAGCCTCGGGGCGGAGCCTGCCGGCAGGGCGAGGCGCCGGGAAGCTGCGGGGATAAGAGAAACAGAAGTTTTAGAAGTAAAATGAGAGAAATAGGAATGCTGGCAGAAGTAAAATAGGAGAAATAGGAATGCCCGGAGATAGAGAAATAGAGAAAAATAAGGCCTCCCCACAACACGGCAATGAGAGAGCTTGGATTCGGTCTGCCTGATTAGGCGATAAGCACCAGCAGGCAGCTCGACCAGAGTATGAGCTGCAGGTCACCGAAGATAGGCACGAACCAACACTAATAAGTCTCCCCCACAATACGGCAATGAGAAAGCTTGGATTCGGTCTGCCTGATTAAGGCGGTAAGCGCCAGCAGGCGGCTCGACCAAAGTATGAGCCGCAGGTCACCGAACACAGGCACGCATCAGCGCCTAAAAACCTCCTCACAACATGGCGAAGAGAGGACCCGGATTCGGTTTGCCCGATTGATAGGACTTGTAAGAACCTGTGGCAACTCTAGCAAGTAGAGCAGAGTGTGTGCCGCGGGACACCGAAGACAGGCGCGTATCAACGCCAAAAATAAAAAGAAAGTGGGATCTGTGGGGAGCAATCCGGACTAGACTAAGTTACTCGAATTAGGACTTATTCTATGCATCTGCTCTCCCACAATATGGCGCTGGGAGAGAAGTAAACAGCTTCCGCACAGCTGCCTCCAGTTCAACCAATTAACTGTAGGACTTGCTCCTGATTGGAGAGCAGCGTACTCAGCCGAGTTGGGATTGGCGGAGGAGGACTATAAAGGAGGAGAGAGACGGCATGCACCAGGAACATCTATGGGGAACATCTAAGGGAACCCGTGCAGCCCCCGAGAGAGCCGGCCGGCGGTGTGCCGCTCCCCTGCGGAAGTGGGGAATGCGGCCAGGGGGAACTGCCCTTCCACGGAGGTGGAAGGGATAGTAGCCAACCCGGGAAGAACCAGCAGCAAACCCGGGGAGGGCCGAGCAGACGAAAGAACAGCTCAGGGTCCTGTGTCGTTCCTCCACAAAGAGGGGGAGCGACAGAGAAGTAAACAAGCAGATGGAAAATTGCTCTCTCTCTCTCTCTTCCCTCCTCCCTCCCTGTCTCTCTGGCTTTGCCATGTAAGGTCACCATAAGGATTTTGGTGTCGACTCTGAGAGAGGCCGGGACGGGGAGTGTAGGTGTTGGAGGGGAGCAGAGAGGGGATTGAGCAAAGGACTGACCTGCTTTCTTATTTATTGCTCCAGGAACTTTTGAGGTTGAGTGCCTTACCACCGATCATTACACAGGCGGCATGAAGCAAAAATACACCGTGAACCAATGCGGGCGGCGGGCTGAGGGCTCCACCCTCTACCAGGGAGAAAGGACCTACTACATTGCAGCAGTGGAGGTGGAATGGGATTACTCCCCGAGCAGGACATGGGAAAAGGAGCTGCATCATTTACAAGAGCAAAAGTAATCATCCGGACTCTGCTCCCCAGTGTGTTCAGCTTAATGTTAAGTTTCCCTTTCAGAGAAGAAAGAATTCTGCTAAATATTAGAAAAACCAGCAGCTGCATTAAACAGTTAGAACAACAACAACAAAATACTTCCCAGGACCCCATCCTCACTCCTTTCTGCCCCTCTCAGTATTCCCACAGGAAAACTCCACCGATTTTCTTTGATTCTTTGCAATCACCCATCTTACTTTCTTTCCTTTATATCTTCTCACATTCATGTGCTCTTTCCTGGTCATTTATTTTCAAATTTAACCAAACAATGCCTAAATTTAGAGCTGAAATACAATTCCCTTTACCAACCACTTGCTGCTTATCTTAACCTTTCCTCCGGAGAGTTCACTATTAGCCAAACACTGAGCCATTTCACATTCTTAAATCTATTATGTACAAAACAGTGTTTAAATGTTTGAGGGCAGTATAGCAGATGTGGTCTCTGCACTCTGAGACCTTACAGGAAAATATGGTTCAAATCCACCAGTAACGTGTATTTTACAGAAGAGGAAAAAGTCAATTCAATTGGAATAAATGTAAGTAGAGGTAGTTGCGGAGCTTCTGAAACACGAGAGTAGTGTCACCCCCACTTCAGGTCACCCCTTTCATACTTTCCAAGCATTTTCTCCTCTGTCACCTCACTTCTGCCACACACTGACTGAGCCTGTGGACACGACTGGAAGGATTGGATGGGCAGGTGTTGGGATCCGGGGCCCATGGCATGACCTGAGACCTGTGGTGAGGCAGTGGTTAGCTGTGCTGGTGGGGCTGGCCTGCAGTATAAAAGATAAAGGTTATTTCAGTAGTCGTGGTAAAGTGGTTGAAAGGCTGCAGGAGACATCAGGGACAAGTTTAGGAAAAAGGAATGACTGAAAATAAGTGTTATTTCCATTTCTCCGGACCAGAAATATGCAGGAACACAAGATCACATCACTGGTACAATCTAGATGCATAAAAATGCCCAAGCTCTTAAGAAACCTCCAATGTGATCTGATTGAATACCTCATTTTAGGGCTGAAGAAAACTGAGGCTCCAACAGGCAGTGGCTAGCTGGGGGCCACTGCAGCTAGTGGTGGTCAGGGCCAGGACGCAGGTAGCGCCACTCAGGTCATGTGTGCTTTCTTCTTACTCTGTCTTACTGGGATGGGAAAGGGATCATTACAAACTACCACAGTTACTTCCATAAAACCGTGTCATTATTTGAAATTTAAACTTAACTTCCACTTTCATTAAGACACATACTAATCTTCATTTTTTTTCCTTCAAGTGTTTCAAATCCATTTTTAGATAAGGAAGAGTTCTACATAGGCTCAAAGTATAAGAAAGCTGTGTACCGTCAATACACTGACAGCACGTTCACAGTTCCAGTGATGAGAAAACCCGAAGAGGAACATCTAGGAATTCTAGGTGGGTTGCCAGCTCCTGTAGTTGAGCGTGGGTTAAGCATGGGCTGCATGTGCAGAGACATCCATCCACGTCCTTGGGTTTCATTTTCCCCTTCATATTTCAATGTAATTTAAATAAAAAATGTTATTCAATAAACATGACAAGCCCATATTTACTAAAGAATGTGTATGAGAAAACCTACTTATTTCTGTCAGAAATAACATATTATACTATACCCTGAAGAAATTGTATATATGTTGTGCTTAACAAATTGATGCCTACAGCTTTGATGGTTCCTAGACACTACTTACTAATGGAATTTATATCCAGATTTGCCCCCATTAGCTCACCTACCAACACACAACAGCTGTTTACTTTTTAAATTAAGAAGTAGATGATTAATTACAAAAATTACAGACAAGGAAATCAAGAAAGGAAAAAGTGTTATTGTCACATCGCAGGGGAGAGTTACCTTCAGTTTTTCAGGAATCACTTTAAGACAGTGTCTAAGGACTTGGCTGACACTGGCTTTGGGAATCTTCTTGAAAATCATCAAGGGCAGGAGACATTCTGCCTCTCCCTACCGCTTCACACACAGGCACTATGTTCCCATGCTCTCAGAGTTCCCAGAGACTTGGTTATCCTCAGCCCTTGGAGCCCCCACAGGGAACAGACATTGTTGCAGCATGATAGCAGTTCTCTCAGGCGGGAGACAGGCTAAGACAGACTAGGTGTTAGAAATGTGCGGGGCAGCCCCACCCTTCCAAACACTACTTCCCACCTGCATTCTGATGAACATCTGGAAGTCCAAAGGATGAGAAATGACAGCGAGCCCTGCAGCACAACTCTGTGCCCGGGACCCAACCCACCATGACTTTGCAGGGACGTTAGGCCAACGCTTCCCTAAGCATCTCTGATTAGGGATGCACCAGGGTCTCCATCCTTAGAGGTAGCCTTTTTGTAGTTTTTATCCCAAGTCCTCCTGCACCAGGTATAAATTCAAGAGGATTACAGCACAAAGCCCCAGGGAAAAAGAAACCGATCCCAGTCTTAGGCTGAGAAAGTCACCTGAGCTCTGTTGTTATTACTAAGTTAGAACTTTCAATCTGACAAATAAGCCACTCTTCTTTTCCATTTCTTCCAGGTCCACAGCTTCATGCAGATGTTGGGGACAAAGTTAAAATTATTTTTAAAAACATGGCCACAAGGCCTTACTCTATACACGCCCACGGGGTAAAAACCGAGAGTTCTACAGTTACTCCAACGTTACCAGGTACTCATGGGAGGGAGATGCATTTTAAGACTTTACAGGCTTTCTACAAATGACCACTGCTATAGCGATATCCTTCCAAAGAGTGGGACTTGGGGAAGTGAGGAGGCTGTTGGTGAGAGGGGATACAGGGAGGTGAGGCTGTGTGTGTGGAAGTGTGTGTGCACATGTGCATACCTAAAAAATCCACAATAGAGCTCAATGGAAAAACCTTGAAGGTACTAGAGGTCTACAAATACTCAAATGTGAATCAGGGAGATGCTCCCTCCAAGCTCAGCTCTCAGCCAGAACACACATCAGATGGCATCTGCCACAGTGCATGCGGCTAAATGTTCCCACTCCTGCCTCCCACACACGGGATCGGAAGGGCAATAGGCTGCCATTTGGAATTCTAAATCCACACACACACACACACACACACACACACACACACACACGTCTAGTCCAGTTATCTGGCAAGACCTATGAGTTCAACAAATGTTTCTTTAAACAACATAGAGGAAAAGATGAGATAGATTATAAACTTAAGTGTGTTTTTATTTAATGAGAACGAGAACTGTATTTTCCTTCTGTTAGATCTAAAATTGGCTTCTATGAAAAGTCCATTTCTCAATAACTTAGCAGTTCTCAAATAAAATGAGAAAACATAAATCTATCTATCAAGCAACTCTTATAAAACTAGGGGGCTAGAAATAAAAATCCCTGCCCTCATAGTCCGCACATTCTCCCAAGGGAGATACCACAAGTTATGTCAATGAGTGAAAAATGCTGGGAGCAAGACGCAGCCTGGCAAGAGACCATAGCAGGAGAGGTGGTTTAGGTGGGGTGGTCAGCAGGGCTTCCCTGAGGTGATACTGGACATCTCAGTCATGAGAGGTAGTGAAATGCAGGTGTCTGTGGCAAAGAGTGTCTAGGCCCAAGATGGGAGTGTATGTCTTATTGACGTGTCTGAGGAGCAGCAAGGGGACCAGAGGTGAGAACAGAGCAAACAAGGGACAGATGAGACAGAGGGAGAGCAGGGGCTGGATGAGTAGAGAGTACTACAGAGGCCATGATGCTGAGGTGAGAGTTTATTCTCAATACCCATATGAGGTGATGAGATGATAAGAGCCCCCCTCCTTTTTTTTAAGGCTGTTCTGGCTGATGTGTGGATAAGTGACTGTTGGGGTGGCAAGGGCTGCATCAGGGGTCCATTTGGGGTCTTTTGCAATAATTTGGGTAAAAAAAATTGTCAACATTGGGAACAGGGTAGAAGCTCTTGAAGTGGTAGGAAGTTAGCATGTTCTGGTTCTATTTCAAAGGTAGAGCTTTTTTTAAAAAAATATTTGTTTTTTTATTTAGTAAATATAAATTTCCAAAGTACAGTTTATGGATTACAATGGCTCCCCCCCATAATTTCCCTCCCACTTGCACCCCTCCCATCTCCCGCTCCCTCTCCCATTCCATTCACATCAAGATTCATTTTCAATTATCTTTATATACAGAAGATTGATTCAGTATATATTAAGTAAAGATTTCATCAGTTTGCACCCACACAGAACATAAAGTATAAAATAGTGTTTGAGTACTAGTTATAGCATTATTTCACATTGGACAACACATTAAAGACAGAGATCCCACATGAGGAGTAAGTACACAGTGACTCCTGTTGTTGACTTAACAACTTGACACTCTTGTTTATGGCGTCAGTAATCTCCCTAGGCTCTAGTCATGAGTTGCCAAGACTATGGAAGCCTTTTGAGTTTGCCAACTTCGATCTTATTCTAACAGGGTCATAGTCAAAGTGGAAGTTCTCTCCTCCCATCAGAGAAAGGTACCTCCTTCTTTGATGGCCCCGTTCTTTCCACTGGGATCTCACTCGCAGAGATCTTTCATTTAGGATTTAGGTGTTTTTTTTTTTGTTTTGTTTTGTTTTTTTTTTCCCCAGAGTGTCTTGGCTTTCCATGCCTAAAATACTCTCATGGGCTCTTCAGGGTAGAGCTTTTTAAAAGAACTCGCTGAAACTTAGGCATTAGGGGGAATCAGGGAAGAAGACCCAAAGGACAACCCCAGGGTTTTGGCTATGAGCCCCTGGTGGGAAAGCAGTCTGGGAAGGGGGGTGGAGGAGAAGGAAATGCTGTTTTTCAGCTTATGATAATCAGTGAAAGTAGACTTGGGGAGACAGTAAAATGTTCAAGTGATAAATCTACATTTTATATTCTCAGTGAAATTTTCTTGTCAGACTCTGGCAAATTAGTTTGACAGCAAGGTCTACATAAGTAAAGTGGACTATCACTGTTGCCACGATTCGGGGCTGGGCTTGGCAAAAAATCAAGGTCTCTGAATGGTTATATGGGAAGCCCCAAGGTGACTGGAAATGGAGAAGAGGCTGGAGCCCATGGGAACAGGATAAGAGCCCTGGCAAGGTGGGAGAGTTGAGCAACTGACAAGCCTCAAAGGGTCAAGGTCCAGGGTCTTGTTATGACACAGTAGTGCACATGACATAGTAGTGACAAACTCGACGGGTGAGAGAGGTAGACAAAATTGAGGTAAGTCAGTGACCTATGAGATCAAGAGGTCTAACGGCTTCTTGTGAGCTGAGGATGGCTGTGAGAAAGGAGGAAGGCTGCCATGGTGAACTGAGGGAAGGACACAGGACAGGTCAGACATACAGACAGCCAGTGGGAGGGCAGGGTGCTAGCCAGTGGGGGAAAACCACCTGGTATATGAAGAGAAAAAAGCATGCTGGGAAAACATACTTCAAGCTGTGAAAAGATTGGCTGCCACGTTTCTTCAGATTGTGACACTGGAATTGCCACCTCCTAGCTTCACGGCATGGCACGTATGTCGTGGTGACTCCATCACTGGCAAAACTGAGTCAAAATTATTGACCTAAAAGTCTTACAGTTTATCTGAAAACTAACTTCCTAAAAATAATTTGAGGGTCACAATTTTGAAAAACTAACTACCCTGCCCTTTTCAGTTCTTTGGTCATTGGCTATCAAGGCTTGGGTGTGTAAGTCAAATAGAAACCAAATATAACCAAACACATGAACACTTGATTACTTTAGGTGAAACTCGCACTTACATATGGCAAATCCCAGAAAGATCTGGAGCTGGAACAGAGGATCTGCCTTGTATTCCATGGGCTTACTATTCAACTGTGGATCAAGTGAAGGTAAACTCTAAATCATTGTGTTTTGTGACAATTCCCAAAATAGACACACAATCGAAGGAAGATGAGGTTACAGTTTTCCTGTGGTACAATTCTAAAATTCCAGGAAGTAAGTTGCTTTGCTATCTAGTTTTTTTTTCTTTTTTCTTTTTCTTTTTTTCAGAGATAGACAACTCCCCCATGATTAACTTATAGAAATTAAACACTGATATTGTACTTTCTTTCCCTTTTGATGTAAAAATACATTAAAGATGGGGGGTATATGGTTTCAGAGCTCTATTATTTCATGATAATCAAAAAGCTGATCTTAGCAGTCAGCCACAGCTAAAGCTGTTGTCTGATGAAATATTCAAAGCCAAAAAACACTAACGACCAGATTAGAAGACGCACCAGAACTGTTTTGTAAATTTTAACATTTAGTGCAAATCTCCACATTCCCACTGTCCCAACGCTTGCCTGTAGACACCTTCACCAACAGCTCTCACAGGCATTTCAAATCCAGCATCTCTTAAACGGACACTGAGCTCCTCCTCCACCTCCTCTGTATTTCCCTTTGTAATAAAGAGCGACATAAGCACCACATCTTCTCAGTTGTTCAAGCCAGAAATCCGAATTAGCAAGCACCTTCTTCTCCCTGGCTCCCCCAGGCAAGTCACCTACCTCCATACAGCTTAAACCATTCCTTCTCTTCTTTTCTAGAGTTTAAGCCCTTGAATTTCACCTCAACTCCTGAAGAGACCCCCAAGCCTCCACTTTCCCCTTCCCCCAATCTTCCTTTGCTCCACTAGGAAGACTAGTTTGAAACACAGATATGCTGCCATTCTCTGTCCAATTTGTCAATGGCTACTTTTGACACAAACACAAAACTTCCTACATTTGGTCTGAGCCAAAGCTGAGGAACAATTAAAATTCCCTAAAATGATACAGCACAAACTCTTTAAGACCTCATCTGCCATTACTGATGCCAAGCCCAATGAAACTTCTCACAGATTTAAGAGCCAAGCGTGGTCTTCCTCCTCTGTGCCCATCAGCACCCTAAATTCCTCCATTTGAGCAGTTACTGCCATTTCTCCCACTCCTCTATCTTCCCTCCTATACAAGGAGCAGTGAAGCTTTGTTTGACTCATATCTGGGGATGCTGTGAGCAGCACATTGCTTGACTCATGCGAATACGTTCTTGTGCTTATGGAATAAACAAACCAACAGTGTCCATCTGGGGCTCTTTTAACTTGCTGTTCATTAGCTGAGCCAATCTTTGGCCTCAGCACACACCTCTGTTACCTAGCATGAACTACCTTCTATTCCCTTTGTTCCGACTTAGCTGCTTCAAAAAGAAAGTTACTGAGTGTGGGCAGTACCACGATGGGCACAGACTACTTAAATCTGTCCCTCCAAAACTGCTGAGGTTGGGGTGTGACGAGGTCGCAAGTCTCCGGTATCTCTCTGACCTACATCGCGAGGATGACTGAGGTTTTGGCTTGTTTTCAGGATCTCTACAGTGGATTAATTGGCCCGCTGATTGTCTGTCGGAGACACTACATTAAAGTATTCAATCCCATAAAGAAACTGGAATTTAGCCTTCTGTTTCTAGTGTTTGATGAGAATGAATCTTGGTACTTGGATGACAACATCCAAACCTACTCTGAACATCCTGAGAAAGTAAACAAAGACAATGATGAATTTATGGAAAGCAATAAAATGCACGGTATGATCAATTATTCTAAAATCATTTTTACTCCTTTTCACCTTTTTCCTCTCTCAAATAAAATTACTTTGGAGACTATTCATTAGATAAACCACTTCTCTCCCACGTTGAGGCAGAATTCTGTTCAAAACAGAAAGGTGACTGTGTTCAAAGATCATCTAATCTCTCTCCCAATTCCAAATCCTCATTTCCTTTTAAATAAGTCCACAATTGAGATGAAGATCTTCGGTATAATATGACTAGAAAAGCAGAGCGTGACACTATTAACCTTATAGCATTCATTTCCTTTGTTATTGTAACAAGCTGTCACACACACACACATACACACCCTTCAATTAACCTAATCATATGTTCTATGGAATGTGCTATTGGTTTAAAATATCCTGAAAGGTAATACAAAGTCATCTGCTTTCCCAGCTATCAATGGAAGGATGTTTGGAAACCTGCATGGCCTCACAATGCACGCGGGGGATGAAGTCAACTGGTATCTGATGGGGATGGGCAATGAAATAGACTTGCACACGGTACATTTTCACGGCCACAGCTTCCGGTACAAGGTAAGAGCCACATGTGGCAGTTGCTCTCGTTCTTGCTCTACTTGAAAATATTCTGCAACAAAGAGAGTATTTCCTCAGAGATCTGTGAAAAATTAAGAGCTTCCAAGAGTAGAGGGCAAAGCCTGACACACCAGTCTTTGTTACATCTTGGGCTCTTCCTCAAATTTGCAGTTTTTAACTGGATTTTCATGGAGTTCTGACACACACTCCCAAGTAAGGCATCTGAGTGGAACTGCCAGCAGAGAGAGTAAGAGTATTCATGTAATGATGGAAACAGCAGAGACCAGTGAGCATTTGTTATAATCTTTGCCCTATGACAAGTTGTGTATCTTTTTAAGAAAAAAATTATCTGCTTGTTGAAAGGCAGAGATACAGAGAGAGAGAGAGAGAGAGAGAGAGGAGGAGGGGGGGAGAGAGAGAGAGAGAGAGAGAGAGAGAGATTGGGCTAATCCAAAGCCAGGAGCTTCTTCCCAGTCTCCCATGTGAGTGCAGGGGCCCAAATACTTGAGCCATCTTCTGGTGCTTTTCCAGGCATGTAGCAGGGAGCTGGATTGGTAGTGGAACAGCTGGGACTCCAACTGGTGCCTATATTGGGTGTGGTGGCTTTACCTGCTAAGCCACAATGCCAGCCCCCAAACTGTATATCTTAAATGGCAAGCAAGGTCACCGGTCAAGTGTCAGGTACCAAACTGTCCCTAGATCCCAATCCTCCTCCTATTCCTTACCCAATGCTGATTTTATCAGGAACCAATTGGTCCATCTGAAGTCCTTTTTTTCTGATGTTTAAGTTGATAGAGAAAATGCAGAAGCTACTGAAAAATACATTGCATAAAGCTCATTTTATTACCTCTACACTTTGTTTTACACAGATATATTATATAAGAGTACTTTGAAATAGCTTGTTGAAAAATGAATAAAAAAATAAGTTTATCTTGGTGCAAAAATATCTGAAATGCATCCCTAGACTTCTTCATAATATGCACTGTGAGCCTTCTGAGGAGCCCTTGTACTCTTAGTGGACTTTCAATTCTGTCCTCGCAGAAGCACACCCACCACTGTGTCCAGCTGAGACTGTGCTTGAAATGCCCCGTCTTGTGGCTTTGCCATTGGCCCCCTTTTCTGCTCCCTTTATTGCTCTTCCTGCCTTCAGGTTTACAGACAAGCCAGTCTAGGATAGGTTTAGGAAAAGGGAGTTTAGGAACCACAGCTAAGTTCCTTTGTGTAGCACAAGTTCTCTGACAAAGAGTCAAATCAGGGTAGAGGCATGGAAGGTTGAGGGTGGGCCTGGTGGATGAATCACTCATCACATCTTCTTTCCTTCCCGCCCACTCAGTGGCCCATGGCCAACATCCTCCTATCTCCCTGTTTGTATTAAATACAGAAATGTGCAGGGATTCGTTTTTAAAACAGATTTATTAAGTTCTCTAATATTCCTGAGCTGGTCAGTGAAAAATTATTTGAGTTTCATCTCACATATACTGATACATATTTGTCATTTTTCATTTGTCATTAAGCACAGGGGTATTTATAGTTCTGATGTCTTTGACATTTTTCCTGGAACATACCAAACCATAGAGATGTTTCCAGAAACACCTGGAATCTGGTTACTCCACTGCCATGTGACCGACCACGTACATGCTGGAATGGAAACTACTTACACTGTTCTACCTAATGAAGGTGAATATCCAGGTATTAATGCTAGAAGTCGCAGGTCATGAATTTGTAACAATGATGCAGTACCTTGCCTACATACCTCCCCAAATATGGAACACTTGTGAATCTACTGCTCGTTTCTTGCTTCTGTACCTACAAAGAGGAATTTTTACTGCTAAATGATGTAGGATACTGCTCACTTCCTGACAGTCAGTACTTAAAAAGGCACTAGAGCCTTCTAAGTTAATACAAATTGATACTAACCTGGTGCAGTGTAATTAAAACTAAAGCAGATATGATGGAGTAGTCATGATGGCTACTAGCCAGCTTATAAAACACACATTTAGAATTCAATTTCTTTCATAAAACTAAGTTTTTTCCTAAGTAATACTTCAGACATAAGAGAAGCTGAAGACTCCCCTCCCCCCAAAAAAATCAATATAATTCCAGTCAACCAGGCAGGGCAGTGTCTTTGTGTGCATCCAAGGGAATGGGAGGCATTACTGACTACTAACTGAAAGAACAGCAAAGAAATTTACATTCCCTGCTCCCCAACCACTGCAACTCCTCTCCCCATACACATTTTTTAAGATTTATTTTATTTATTTGAAAAAGTTACAGAAAGAGGTAGAAACAGAGAGAGAAAGAGAAAGAGAGAGAAAGAGATTGCCCATCTGCTAGTTCATGCCCCAAATGGCCACAACGGCTAGAGCTGCATCGATCCGAAACCAGGAACCAGGAGCTTCTTCTGGGTCTCCCATGTGGGTATAGGGACCCAAGGACTTGGGCTATCCTCTGCTGCTTTCCCAGGTGCATTAGCAGGGAGCTACACTGGAAGTGGAGCAGCTGGGACTCAAACTGGCACCCATATGGGATGCCAGCGCTGCAGACCAGGGCTTTTAACCTGCTGAGCCACAGTGCTGGCCCCTCCATACACATTTTTTTTTTTTTTTTTTTTTGACAGGCAGAGTGGACAGTGAGAGAGAGAGACAGAGAGAAAGGTCTTCCTTTGCCGTTGGTTCACCCTCCAATAGCCACCGCGGCCGGCGCGCTGCGGCCGGCGCACTGCGCTGATCTGATCCGATGGCAGGAGCCAGGAGCCAGGTGCTTTTCCTGGTCTCCCATGGGGTGCAGGGCCCAAGCACCTGGGCCATCCTCCACTGCACTCCCTGGCCACAGCAGAGAGCTGGCCTGGAAGAGGGGCAACCGGGACAGAATCCGGCGCCCCAATCGGGACTAGAACCCGGTGTGCCGGCGCCGCTAGGCGGAGGATTAGCCTAGTAAGCAGCGGCGCCGGCCATACACATTTTTTTTTAAGATTTTTATTTATTTATTTGCAAGGCAGAGACAGACAGAGAGAAGGAGAAACAGAGAAAGAGGTCTTCCATCCACTGGTTTACTCCCTAAATGGCCACAATGGCCAGAGCTGAGCCCATCCAAAGCCAAGAGCCAGGAGCTTCTTCCAGGTCTCCCACATGGATGCAGGGGCCCAAGCACTTGGGCCATTTTTCACAGCTTTCCTAGGCCATAAGCAGAAAGCTGGATGGGAAGAGGAACAGGTGAGACACAAACCAGCACTCCTATAGGATGCTGGCCCCACAGGTGGAGGCTTAATCTACTACACCAAAGTGCCACTCCTCCCCCATACACACTTAAGCACACACACATATACCCACGCACATAAATACAGCAAAACAATAACATTTTTGTGGATACATACCAACAGTATGTTTGAAGAATGAAATGTGGTTGTAGGCTTTGGTGATTTTCTAAGTCTTCTGAGTTCAGAATTGTTAGAACTGGAAATGGCAAGCCCAGTGGGAAAATAATGCAAAGGAAGCATTTATCCTCCAAATGGGCATAAAAGGGAACATATAAAAGGCTATGTAGACTCTTCTTTAATTCAGATTTGTCCCATGTGTCCTCATGAAAATTCAGGTTATGTGTTGTTAGCAAGACCACTACAAAAGCGATGCTGTTTTTCTCATTCCCCAGGAGCCACAAGCTATTGATTGTTCCATTACTACTGAGGTTAAGATGGTATTGGCAGGGTTTCTCCACTATAGTTCTATTTTTCCTCTTTAAAATTAATCAAAATGTTGTAGGGAAGAAAGTACTTTTTCATTGAAATAGTAGCATAATGAGAGATTTTAAAACAAAAGAAAAATAGAAAAATAGAAATGAATTAAGAATGATTAAACAAAGGAACATTAAAAAATAATCTATTTAAAGTACTGTCTATTAATTTTTAACCACATAATATGTAGGATTTTAAATAATAGTCTTAAAATTTCTTTTTCTATAGAGACCAAGTCTGGCTGAAAGAAATAAATTGGTGATAAGTGGGGAAAAAAAAGGAAAAAAAATCTATGATTTATGACAATGGATGTGAAAGTGTCGACTAGAATAAAAAATTTTGGAATATTAAATATTAAAAAAAAATTTAAAAAAGATTGAGAACCCAACTCTGTGCATTTGTGGGGGAGATAGGTTTCCCTGTTGCAGATGAAAGAATCAGAGTGTGTTATGATACATGGTTGGCACTTGTACATGAGGTTATAGAGTTGATTCATACGGGGCACTCACACCACCACAATTAAAGCTTTACAAAACTGCTCTCCAAAAAGGAAAATACATGACCAGATGATGACCTGGGTGGTCCTCCAGGGATCACAGTTAAGGTTCAATGAAATGCTTCTGGCCACGGCTTTCTCATCAATCCCTGTCCCATCATGCTGACATCATTCCTAATGAAGCAGTGGACAAAGGGGCACAAAGCGTGGAGGAAGGAAAAAAAATCAAATAAAAAGATGCATGTCTGAGATGTGCTAGATCCTGGAAGAAATGGTCAAAAAGACATTATCTGGAACCGGAGCGAAGTGGAGTTGAAGACCGGTTCTTAGAATAAATCCTGGTAAAGATGACTATTGCCATCAGGAGAAAAGTTCAAAATAAATATCGTGTGGCAGATACCTGCTAGGCAGAATTTTTTGCCCAGCCTTAACTGGATTTAAAGGACTCTAATGGTAAGCTGAATTTGGACTTGAAATACTTTAATGAGGTTAAAAAAGACAGTTATGAACACCATGCTATATGAATATTTCTTTATTTTCATGCTTTTACTCTTCAAAGAGCAAGAGGACACATCAACAAAAAAAAAAAAAAAAAAGAAAGGGAAGAAGGCTTTGGCTAAAAACTATACACTCAACAAATCATGTTAAGAGCTAGAAAAGAAGCTATCCTTGTCTACTTCATTTGATTCACAGTTCTGAGTTAATAAGAAAATAAGGGTTGAAATCATTTACTGTGGTAAAACATTAACATCTTTTTGAAAGAGTTTTTTTAAAGGTAGTCCAGTAGAGAAATATGGGAAGTTCAAGAAGATAAAATTTTGTAATTTACAAAATGTTTCCTTAAAATGTTCCTGGGATGAAAAAAGATTGTCATTTCTCCAACAAGTGAATTGTTGCTGTTTCTTAGAATAAAAGTCAATCTCCACCTTTAAAAATACATGGCTTCTTTGAAGAATTCTTCTGTCTTGAAGCTTTTTTTTACATTATGGACAATTAGGTGAATTCAGGTCATAAATTAAGAAACTAATGGTTACCATTGCATTCTGAGGCTTACCTTAGCTTAAAAGTATCCATAATACATACATTTGTAAAGTACAAAAAATTCTTAGCTTGTGTTTTTACCTGGCATTCAGTTTTTTTAAATTCAGTTTCACATACTACTGTGTTGGTTTTTCAAATGATACCTTCAACTCAATGACTTTTTTCGACTACAGTAAAGAAGATACGGCAAGAAAAATGCTGCAGTGCCATCTTCTGGGAGAACATTCAAGAAATCCCTTAGTTCCAGTTCCACAGCAACAATTGACAATGTTTCTGTTTGTGGAAAGAATATCAGTGTTAGAAAGGAGAGGGTCTTTCATCTGATTCTCTCTTAATCACTCAACCAATCAGAAGTTAGTTTGGGTAATACAGTTTGGCAAGTACAAAGAAAAAAGTGGTCTCTTAAATCCACAAAATACTTTACGATTTTAACAATGTCTTAATGTATCCTTTCTAGAATCTTTTGATTTTACATTAGCTCCATGCAATTTGGATTTACTATCTCATTGCTGGGTTACTACAATATTTATTTTTCAATATATTTTTACTATTTTCTAAAGAAAAACACAGCTATCTGAATGCTGTGTTAATGTTAGTAATATACTACAGCTAATACACAGATTGTCTAATAGGACAGGAAATACCATTAACATTTTCCTAAATCAGCTGTTGTCTGAGATTTTTCATGTTATTAGCACAAATCCACTTTCATGACCATGGATCTTTGTTTATAAACTGCAAAATTAGTGCTCCAATGAGCAACTTCAACATTAAGGCACTTATTTTTGTAATGATAACTACACAATTTTATGAGCTATTGCTTCTTACCTGACACATGCTGCCCTCTCCTAGGAAAAGGGAGCAGTGTTACTGAAACATCCACGTATAGTCTTAGAGCTATCCTTGCACACCCGCCACCTACTCTACCTGCAAAGTCAGTGAAATAGAAAATCCATCCACAGGCATCTATCCAATAGTCAGCAGCCTAAATTATCCTTTACACAAAGGAATGACCTTCCCTGCTGCTAAAACATTAACGAATGGATTAGCCGTGATGAATAGGAAAGATCCCGACAGACATGGGAAAGGTTCAGACTCTTCCACCTACTGCTTGCTGAGTGACTTCAGGAAAGTCCAGTGTCCTCATCTATAATCATCTGCTGGCTTCCAGTTTCTATGAGAATTAAATTAAAATACAACGATGCACCTTGGATATTTAATAGGGCCTTAATAAACAGCAATTACTAACTAATGTGAACATGAATTATTGAAGTTTTCCTACCAAATCAATTTATTTACCCAAATATGGAGCCTATAAGTAGTATCCCTGATACAAAAAAATTGAGTTGGGCATGGGGGTGAGGCTAGTGTTGAACAGTTAGAGCCAACCAAAATTCATTCCATCACTGCATAATTCTCTTCTTCTCCCAATCACTGAAACACTAGTATCAGTCATAACTCCAAGACCTTAAATCCACTGAGGGCTTTAGAAGTTGATCCAGTGTTTTCAGCTATAACTTCTCATTTAATTCCTTCCAGAGTCCTGTGAGATTCTTATTAATTCAAGCCCAACCCCAAAGAGAATATGATATTCTAGCGGGCACTACGTCTGATTTTATAGTTGGGAAAATTATGGTTAAGAAAAGATTAAAGTAACTTGCTTTACTCTACTAACTAGCCATTCAAATCTACAAGTTGTCCAGAAATAATCTATCTAAATGTAAACCCACATACTTAAGATCCTCAAGCTGTCTAAAAAATACTCACTAAATGTTGAAATAGTTATTTTGGCCAGTGGGACTTTAAATGACCTTTTAAATTTTTATTTTTGGAATTTACTAAAATATTAAAATTTTTTAAAAAAGCACAGTTCATTATTGAAAAACAGTAATAAACACTTCCTCCAAGGGAGCAAGCCATCCACCACATCCAGTTTCACTGGCTTTGCATCATACAGTACAATTTTATCTTCTAGAGCACACCTGCTGACGTCTGGAAATATTTTTGTTTCTCCAACTACAACAGTGCCACTGGCACCTAGTAGGTAGAGGCTAAGAATGCCCTTTAACAATCTAAAATAGACAAAGGAAATCCCGATGCACACAGAGAATTTTCTGGCCTCCAAAGTGCCAAGGTTGGGAAACACTGCACTAGAGAGCTAAGACATCCAAGCTCCATACAGATTACATAAGTCTCTGAGCTCCATCTCCAATCTTACCCTCTTGCCTTTTGCCTACTGTTTTACTCTGGAGTTAGTACTGAACTTCTCATTAGTCCCACCACTCTCACTTAAGACTGGCTTGCTCCAGGTCACCCAGTGAAAGAGGCAGAACTGGAACTCAGTTCCAATTCTCCAGACTCCAATTCTGGGCTGTTCTTAACATACTACAGCTGCCAACAGAAATATCTCCCAAGAAGTACATCTGAAATTCTTCAAGTGTCTCCCCTACCAATCAGTAAACAGTCACAAAATGCCTCGTACGAGAGATGTTCACACTGCTGGTGAGGGTGCAACATGAAAAATCAGTAAAACCATATCACCTCTTGAGGAATTTCAGTCTATTAAAGGTAAACCACACACAGCTCCTAGTGCCATCTGCAACACTCATGGGTCCCATGTGCATACATGTGTGCAAATACACAAACATATTTTAAAGATATAGAAAAATGGGACCCTCAGAACAATGATTATGGGTCAATTCAGGAGTGAGGGACTGGATCAGAAAAGGATGAAGGAGTCTACTGACTGACGTAATGACACTGTGGAGGTGTGACCACGTGGGACAGCTGCACTGGGAAGTGAACCACCAACACAACTATCAGTGATAAGCTATCTGATGGATTTGATGCCAGTGGGGCAAAGCAATTAAACACCTGACACTCCCCCCCCCAAAAAACAAAAGAAAACTAAAAGAATTCAGGGGGATAGGACAAGTCACCTCCTCCTCTTCCCAGTCACAAACATCTAACTTTAATTAAATGGAGATCTTCAGAAAAAACAACCTGCATGGCCACTGGCTCTGCTTACCATTAAAAAAATCAATTATCTCTGTTGAAAAACATAATTCCAATGTCAATTTCTCATTTATGAGCAATGCAAAGTGATCATATACTCTGCAATCCACTCAATAAAAAACAAGTGATATTAACATACAATAGTATATAAACTCGTAACCATATATTTCTCAAGATTTATACATGACTATTTATGAATTATAATAATTCAAATAACTATGTCTGAGTTATTTAGACACAAAAACCTTTAATCCTTAAGGAACTTGTCATTCCTCAATATTTACTTACATTATTGTTTAATAATAACCTCAATTTCCTACACCAAGGCAGTCAAGTACCCAGGCTATTGGTAAAAAGTAGAATTGTCTCAATGGCTACTCAGATTTTTTAAACAGATGTTGGTGCTGGGGGTTTCTGTGACTGATAATCCGATGGGTGTTTAAAAAGATGAAGTAAAAAGAGCATCCACTCTGTGATGAGACAAGACAGACAAACGTGAACTATGATGGGGAAGGGGCACGTGAGTGCTGAAACAATCTCTCAAGATGACTGTCAGATCCTCTTCACCTCCCTGGAGAACCACACGAGCACACTGGAGGGAGCAAGGCTTTTTACATTTAAAACTGCAACTCTTATCATTCCTAATCAAGCCAAAAAGCTGTTACCTTTTAATGATGACAGGTGAAGTTGGTATTTCTCTCCACCACATTTTATTCTCTGACAAAGTTCAGGCAGCAATTTTTTCCACCATAAAGTCTATCTTGGGAAAAAAAATGCATAAATTTTAGTTTGGTAGAGGCAGAATAAGATTGTACAGGAAGGCAGAGGGCAGACATGTGATTTTGGTTTATGGCACCCAACTTTGTTAAAACAAAAGTTGTATCAGCAGTCATCCTTCTGCTTAAATCGTAATATAAAAGTCAGCTTTGTAACTTGAAAAATCCAGTAATATGTGTACTGCACATATGTACATGGCTGTTTTCAGGAAGCAGAATGCACATGTCCTATAATCATCTCTTAGGTGGCAAAAAAGGGAGGGAATGAGGAGCAGCACTGAAGTCTAAAGCTCTTCTGATTTCTAAACTAAAGACTATAAAGCACAGAGAAGATTTTCCCATCATGCAGCATCCTTCCCCAGTGTTGAGGTAATCAATCACCTACTTCACCTCCAAATGAGGAAGTTTTGTAATGGCAACATTAACCATCATCGTACATTTGAAAATCATCTAACAGTACTCAAAACACCGAACATATTAAACATACAAGCTCAGGGGCCCACACAGCGCTGTGAGGTTGGACTGGCATAAACTGTCCCCATTTTACAGATAAGACGACCAGATCTTTAGCTCTGCTTATCACTGATCAAGCTGCAAACATGAAAGGCATACCCGGTTCTCTTCTTTCAGCTCGTGATTAGCATATGGGATGACAGCCTCTGGGCATCTCTCTAACAGTGTGTCTATGCACTGCTCATACTCTTTCAGGCGTGTACGACACAGAACATGGACACTGAGGCCAGCAAGAGTGTCTTCTGACAGTGGCTCCAAGAATGGTATCACGGAAGCTATGTCAAATGAAGGACCACATATAAGAGACTATGAACAGAAAAGTGAAATGTTATGGAATGAGGAACCCAAAAAACAAACACAACAGACACAATACAATTTTTAAAAGAAATTAAAACATTAACAGACAGAATATATATATGTGTGTGTGTATATATATATATATAAGATTTATTTACTTACTTGAAAGTCAGTTACACAGAGAGAGGAGAGGCAGAGAGAGAGAGTCTTCCATCCGATGGTTTTAAAAATAACTTTACTAGTGTCGGACAGACTGCAAACTAAAACTAAGCAGGAGGGGCTGGCGCTGTGGTATAGCAGGTTAAAGCCACAGCCTGCAGTGTGGGCATTCCAGGCATCCCCTATGGGCACTAGTTCAAGTCCTGGCAGCTCCACTTCCTATCCAGCTCCCTGCTAACATGCCTGGGAAAGCAGTGGAGGATGGACAAAGTGCTTGGGCTGCTGCACCCAAGTGGCAGACCAGGAAGAAACTCCTGGCTTTGGCCTGGCCCACTGCCAGTCCTTGCAGCCATTTGGGGAGTGAACCAGTAGATGGAAGATCTCTCTGTATCTGTCTCTCCTTCTCTCTGCCTTTCAGATAAATAAATAAATAAATAAATAAATCTTAAAACAGGAAAAAAAAAAACTAATCGGAATTCTTTAGGATTCTATCCCAAGGAAATAATCAACATATAACACTGAAGAATTAGAGGAAATCTAAATGTTCAATAGGGATATGTAAAAAAATGGAATATTATTTAGCCATTAAAATTATCTTTTTAAAAGCTAGTGAATGAAAAAATGTTCATGATAAAATGAGTAAAAACATTCAATACAAAATTATATTCAGAGCACAATCAGTTTTGTAAAATTCACATAGGTAAATGCAAATATAGAAATCTCTTTGGAAAAGCATCACTATTTGAAACAGATTTATTCACTGAATGAGAGGATAGAGCCTGATTTTTGTTTTCTTTTAACACTTCTTTGTATTTTCCAAATTTTCTCTGATGAACATGTATTACATATATAAACAAAAATGAAATTTCATATTTAAAAAATCAAAGCAAATGTTTAGAACTGCATCATTTGTATTGATAATATCTTTTGGCACAAGTTGAATGACACAGAGCAGGTATTATTTCAGTATTCAGAACTTTATCAATATTCATCTATTTAAACTATATACCCTCCTTTTGAGTCTGTTACCAAAATAATCTCCTTTCCCTTTCTCTTGGATGAAGATGAGGTGGTCATGTCCTGATTTCTTCTCCCTGTATCTTTTTGCTACAGCATCATCTCAGATTCATAGGAGGATATGGAACATGAACTATCCATTCACAGCGAGCATGATTTTTTTATTCCAAATATTTATCAAGGAATTATTAGCAGAATAAGGTTAGTGCCTTTTCTTTCCTCAACTTTAATAAATTATTCATCTCAATAATTTCCTGACAATATGATGGCAAAATGAAAATAAGGTGATAAATTTCTCACTCCTGGAATTTCTCAACACAGAAGAAAACAAACACAGACTGTTTCTCTATCATATCCTGATTAATCCATGGTTAAATGAAACAAGCCAAAACTTGGTACAAATGGATAACCTATGAACTTTTACTTATTTTTAAATGTCTTGATGATATGGGTAAAACTAAGTATAACAGTTAAGAAACACTAAAGAAAAAAACATATATCATTGGACAAAAAAAGTTCCAAAGATTATCATTTAAAATACTGTTGTTATCTACTTCTTAGCTGAGTATTAATTTTTTTTCAATATTGGAAATGGACTTCTCTCCACCCTCAACACAAGCATTATTTAATTATCTCCTTCTCCAATTAAAATCTCTCACCATCAGCCCTGACTCAGCAGGCCTGGGAATTCAGACTTCTGTCTTCACTTAGTCAACCACAGTGTGGTTCTAAGGGTGGCTGGTAAGGAGGTAGGGGCAGGACAGCAGGGCAACACTGGCAAAGGCAGGACACTGACTGGATATTATGTCATCCCAAACAGTGGTTTTCTGACACACAGGTGATTTATTGATGGTTTTTAATTGTTGCACAAATATACCACTGCAGCGATTAAGGACAACAGGCAGAAACTCACATCTAATTTGTGGGGAGAGGGGAGTCACATGGTGGAAAAGCTCTATGGGTAATTTTTTTAAAGATGTATTTATTTATTTGAAAGGCAGAGTTAAAGAGAGGCAGAGGCAAAAAGAGAGAAAGAGAGAAAGAGAGAGGGGGAGGGAGAGGGAGAGAGAGATCTTCTATCCTCTGGTTCACTCCCCAAATGGCCGCAACAGCCAGAGCTGTGCCAATCCAAAGCCAGGAGCCAGGAGCTTCTTCTGAGTCTTCCATGTGGGTACAGGAGCCCAAGAACTTGGGCCACTTTCCACTGCTCTCCCAGGCCATAGCAGAGAGCTGGATGGGAAGTGGAGCAGCTGGGACTTGAACTGGTGCCCTCTATGGGTAATTTTGAACCTTCCCCATCCCTCTAAGAAAGAAATAATGAAATTGTTTCTTGATGGTAATAGTTTTTCTTAATGACTAAGACTAGTTGACCCACAGATAATCTAGAAAGTTATAATTAGGAAAAGGATTTAGACAAGTCTAGACAGACTTCATTTTTATCCTTTAATAGCAAAGAATCCCAGGGAGAATATACTTTTAGGTACTTTAGAATAGATTTTAAGAGATCAGTGATTATAAATGTTCTGAAACTTTACTGGGGGAAATGCAACAGAACTTATTATAATTAGGATTTCAAAGATGAGTGTATAAGCTGTGGGAGGGCAAGGTCCCGCCTGTTTTTCCAACGTTGTCTATCACATATACAGAACATGTCAAGCAATATTTGTGAAAGGAATGAACATGAGACTGAGCCCTCAGAAGCCACTGCATCAAAAGGTTCCTAGACACTAAAGAGACAACAGGAAACTTGCTTGGTGATTTTTAAAGAACTAAGTAATGGGACTGGTGCTGTGGCGTAGAAGGATAAGCCTCTGCCTACAGTGCTGGCATCCCACATGGGCACTGGTTCAAGTCCCGGCTGCTCCACTTCCAATCCAGCTCCCTGCTAATGTGCCTGGGAAAGCAGTGAAACATGGCCCAACTCCTTGGGCCCCTGCACCCATGTGGGAGAGATCCAGATGAAGCTCCCTCAGCCCTGGCCGTTGTGGCCATCTGGGAAGCGAATCAGTGAATGGAAGATCTTTCTCCCTCTCTCTTCTCTATTTCAAATAAATAAGTCTTTATTAAAAAAAAAAGAAGAAAAATAATTCCATTCCATTTCTGGGGACAACACACTCCTATGTGGACACTAACTAGGTCTAAGCATTATGGCCTCCTGAGCATCCCTCTCTAACCACCGTCCCCAACTTACATTGTGATTGATAAGTAATAACCACATCTGCATCTGTTTCCAGAGTGTAAATCAGGGATTGCAAACTATAAGGCCGAAAGGGGCCAAACACATAATGAAAATGCAGGAAGGCAGCTGAGTATAACAAGATTCTCAGCACCAGGACTCAGAAGACAGTAAGGTGACAGTAACACAGACAGAAGAGCATTAATACTCTCACAGAGGGAAACCACTAGCCAGCTCTAACCCTCAGGCCTCAGAAGCAATGGAGGGACAGTCAAGCAGAACCAACAGTGCAGGACTTTCCAAGAGGAACTTGAAACTCAGGATTCTTAATTTTTCATATGTGGGCAGCAAAACTGCACTGACCAAAAACACACATGGGGATCATAGCTGGTTCTTGGGTCACTGAAGTCCCATGCACATATACCCCTAGGCTGATGCACCTAGTGCAGGGGTGGGGAATGGTCCGGCCCACAGCCCATATAAGGCCTGCGAAATCATTTGGTCTGGCCCTGCCAAGACAATCATAGGTGGGATGTGAAATTCAATACATCTATATTGAAAGCTAATTTTTAGATTAATAATTTTGTATGACCTTCCCATGATGCTATAAATATCCTCCAAATACTCTCTGACTCCTGACCTACTCAAATGTGGACTTTATTTCTCATTTCCCTCGAAAACACTGTCATGGTCAGAATTCTTGCAGAATTCTGGCCACTTGATCTCTTTCTTATAACACAGGTAGGGCTAGAGGCCTAAAATGTAGTAACAATAAAAATTAAGAAAAGATTACATCAATAAAAACAGCACTAAACAGATGCCACAGTGCCATTTCACAAAATGTTTTCAAGCTCATGCTGAAAATGAGGATGACAGTTGTGGTTTGGCGAAGTGCACTGGTCTCTCAGCACACACGCCTCACCCATCGGCAGCTCTAGGCAAGGAAGAAATCTGATACATTCCCAATTAGCAGGACACCTGAGGTCTTACCAAATTTAAACTTTACACCGTATCTTCATATGCATATTCACAAGAGAAGAGGTGCTTTTACTTACCTGTAATTTTGAAAGGTCTTCTGTATAATTTTTATCAGCTAAGGGATCAGATGATATTAAGATGTGAACCCATGGGTAAATTAAGCCATAATGACTACAAGCATTTATCTAAAACATAAAAGAAATGTATCATAAACAAAATATCACAACAAGCAAAACGCTTTCTTCATTAATTCCACAACAAGAAAGCAATCATCAGTCTCCTGCCATGTCATGGAATTAGGTCAACACTTTCCAGAGAATGGGAAGGAAAGTCTTTTAGAATGTATTCCCTTGGAAAATGTTGCAGTCTTGATGCTTCCATGCTAAATAATTGTCACTAAATACCTCCTTAAATTTAATAATTTAAAATATTCCAAGGAAGTACTTTTTGCCAAAAAGAGCAATACTGCTTTTAAGCTAATGTCACTCAAAAGGAGTTAACAGTAATACTGAAGTAAATCTTAACCTGTACTACTTTTTTGGGGAGGCAAAATATCTTCCATAGGTTCTCAGGACAATCCTCATGAAGCTCCCTTTATTCTAGAAGTTGGGGGCTTTCCCAGTCAACCCACATTACATGGCAAGCCCAAGGACAGGAAGGGCGGAGAAAGGATAGAGCTGCTGTGGCTACCCTGAATGCTACTGAAAGGCTGCTGTGCACGGAGCTGATGGATGGGAAGTGGGGGCCCAGTCAGATGTCTCCCTCCCACAAGCCTTCTGCAGTCCCTCTCCATCAGGGGGCTCTGCACATGTCTCTCCCCTCATATCCTACTTAAAGAACCTCTGCTGAAGACATGGAGATGGAGTGACATTCTCGGGAAAGCACTACTGAGGTACGACTGCAAGGAAGCCATTTAAAATGTGGGCAACTTCAGTCATGGACAAGTTTTAAGTGTATTGTTAAGTCTTGCTTAAAAAAGATACCTGGTAATAGAAAACTGGGTCTAAGTCACTAAAAATCAGAAGGGCCGTTACCGTGATCCGCAGTGTAAGGGTCTAAGGTACTCACCAGGTCCTCTGCTGTTCGCAAGGGTGTGGTGTCGGGAGGCTGTCTCTGAGATAATCTCCAGATGTACTGTGACATGAGCTTGTAAAAGAGTTCTGGAAGTGCCGAATCAGGGAGACATGCCACTAGCTGAGCTTCCCAGAAGTCCACCAAGAGCTGAGGGATGGTATCTTCATCCTTACCACAAAGCACCTGGAAAACAGCGAAACAGCCTCTGGACCTCAGATACATATAGCAATAAGTGATAAGTTACAGGTGGACCGAATATCACATCACCATGTGGGCTGTGCAGGTAATAACTTACCATTAGCATCAGTGCCATGGCATCAGACATTTAACACATAAAACAGATTCCAGTGGCAAACATTGTGGCAGAGTGGGGTAAACCACTGCTTGGGATGCCCACATCCCACACTGTAGTCCCCAGGATTGATTCCTGCCTCTTCTGATCCAGCTTCCTACACCTAACAGGCAGATGATGCTGGCTCAAGTAATTGGGTCCCTACCTCTCATATGGGAGACCCCAGTGGAGTTCCTAGCTGTCGTGGGCACGTGGGGAGTAACCAGCAGATGGAAGATCTCTCTCCTTCTCGGACTCTCTCACTCTGCCTTTCAAATATATCAATCTTTAAAACAAATCAGATCCTTTACTGCATGAAGTTTCTTCAGATACATCCTTTTAATTTGAACTTTTATAAATTAGTATTTTTTTTTTTTACAGGCAGAGTTAGACAGTGAGAGAGAGAGAGAGAGAGAAAGGTCTTCCCTCCGTTGGTTCACCTCCCAAATGGTCGCTACAGCCTGCGCTGCGCCGATCCAAAGCCAGGAGCCAGGCGCTTCCTCCTGGTCTCCCATGGGGTGCAGGGCCCAAGCACTTGAGCCATCCCCCACTGCCTTCCCGGGCCACAGCAGAGAGCTGGACTGGAAAAGGAGCAACCGGGACAGAATCCAGCGCCCCAACCAGGACTAGAACCCAGGGTACCGGCGCCACAGGCTGAGGATTAGCCAAGTGAGCCACGGTGCCAGCCTATAAATTAGTATTATTTGTAAGTCTGTCTTTGTCAGTAAACAAATAAATGAAAAACTCATTTCTCTTATTCTACTTCCATCTATGCTGATCTTATCAGATCAGGAAGAAAAATTGCATTTTTAATATAACAAACCTTAAAGAAAGAATCTGCTTCTTCAATCCCAATTTTGCTGTTCTTCTGCAATCCCAGGACTGAAGCCACCAGCAATCCTGGCTGAGTCTCCTTCAAGTGAGTCGCAAGCTCAGTTGGAACAATCTGTCCCTTCCTGTGTTGAATCAACAGGCGTGGTTCCAAAATGAAGCCACACACCAACTTCATCTTCAGATAAAACAGAAATTCAGGAATAAAATGTGCAGTTCTTTCAGATGATCCATCTTGGATATGTATGCTAGTGCATTCAAGACTCATGGTTATGTTATTAATAATTAAACACAATTTCCTCCTTAACTATAAAACTAATTCTTACCCTAAGAAGGATATTATTAACTGCTTTATGTAAGTTGTTAATATTTAAGTATCAGGATAGCTCATTTTTGTAGAGATTTTTATATTCAGATCTGCTTGTTTTGAAAATAAATATCTTAAGTTTTTTCAAAATCATGGAAAGAAATTTTATTCTAGCATTTGCTTTTCAAAGTATAAGGCAAGGGAGTACTGACTTGCTTTCCTCATCATAACACAGCACTTCATTTGTACGGTAATAAAGCACTTCTGCTCTGGTTTTAGAAGCCAAAGTCACAGTGTGAGAATTTGACCACAGGAAGGCCACAAAAATCACAGTACTACAGGAGCACAGGTGCTGAAGTCAGGTGTCGGATTACTCCGGCTCTGCCACTCATCAACAGTGTGATCTTGAGCATGTTATTTACTCTGTGTGTGTCTGAGTTCTCTCATCTGTATAATGGCTGTAACAGAACCTACCAACATGAAAAAAGGGCTTGGAATAGGCCTGGGACATAACCAGTGTTTGATTAATACAAGCTCCAATATTTTCTCCTAAATGATTAATATCTTTGGTTCACGTCCCTAAATGACCTCTTTTCCAAGGAAAATGACTTCTCTTCCTTTGATATGACACTCAAATGTTCAGTCTTCCATAAAGTCGTCTGCAATTTTTCCCTCGGAGGCTATTTCTGTAGAATTCTGAGGCTCATGGTCAACATGCCCCTTGGCAGTACTTACATACACATCACTCAGTTCTATTCTCAGTGCATATGCTATATCTATCCCTCATGCCAGATCAGATTGTCTGCTTGGGTTAGAGCCTGCATACTCTTCAGTACCAAGCATGGTGCTCCCAACATACTTGACACCAAGTTGGAAGATCTTTGGACACCCACTGCTGCCATTATCAGCCTTACTTCTTTTTCATATGCCAGATTCAAAGTCCCACTCAGATCACTCTCCTAACATTGAGTCTATTGTCCATTATGACTAGAAAATCTGAGCTAGAAAAAAAGTCAGAAGAACGCTAAACACCTCAAGCTACCAGTTCTATTTCGGCCTGCTATTCACACCAGGCAGGGCACCATACCTCTGGATGGCTTTTCATTTCATTTCTGTACACGTCAAGATCTCCCATTTTCAGTGCCACTGCTGCCTTGCTCAGTGTCACTAAGATGGATGAAAACCCAGAAGTATCCATCTTCTTTAGGTAGCGCATGGCAGTTAAAGGGTTAATATTCTTCATGGAAGGGCTACAAAGAATATGGGGCAGCTGCTTTGGTTCGGTCACATGAAACATCTTTACAACTTTTGCTGCTAATTCCTTCAGTGAGCATGAACAAAGAAGAAAAGGACAGTCAGCCATCAGACAGCAACAAAAACAGCTCCCCTTGCACACGCAAAAAAACAAATGTGCCCATACACACACATGCAACACTCCCAACCCTGCCAAATATCCCTTATCCAAAATTCTTACAACTCAAAGGGCTGCAGATTTTGGAGTTTTTTCCCCAGATTTTGGAATATTTACCTACAATGAGGTATTTTGAGGATGGGACCAAAGTCTAAACATGAAATGCATTTATTTTCCTTATACAACTTATACATGTAGTGTGAGGATAATTTTGTAAGTAGGTACAAGAAACAAGGTGTAGAATTTTCCACTTATGGTATTATATTTATTTACACTTAAAATGTTTTCGGTTTTATGGTATCATGTTTATACTTAAAATGCTTTGGATTTTAAAGCATTTTGGATTTTGGATTTACAGAGTAGGGACGCCCAATGTGTATATACAAAGCTAAGATACAAACACTGCAATCAACATAAAATTATACTATCATGTTTTGATTAAAAAAAAAGAGTTTATGCTGATATGTGGGAGACCTAAACATGACCCAAAGTGATCTCTTTGCTGAGTTACAATGAAGAAAAAGCAATGAAAGTATGTACACATTATAATCAACATTTCTAATTTTAAAAGGAATATGGAAAAAGAAAAGTATTTCATTAAATTACATTTAAATGTCCACCATAAAAAACTACAATTAGTTCAAAACATACCCTTGGAAGTAATTCATATGAGAAAATGTCATTTCTCTTAAAATCTTAAAGCATCTGGAATCATAATTTCCAACCCAGCATTCAGCTATGTTTAAAACACATGAGGGGCTAAAAACAATTCGTAATAATGTATTAAGGTCACTGGGCAGGGGTTTGAAAACAAAGTTTTGGACACTTGTAGAATAGGGCTGCTAGGGTTGGGGGAACGACTACAGATGAGAATTACGAATGCCAGGCCCACACTGTGTCATAAGGACATGCTTCTGTCACTGGGCAGGTCACTCAACTACAGTGGACCAAATCTCCCTGTGTATAAAATGAAAGCATATGAGATGGTTCATAGATTCTTTTCCAAGCTACAATTCCATAATTATTAATGAAGAAAAGGGTACATTACTTTTTAAGAAAAAGAATATCAAAGAAGAGAAAAATTTGGAACTTGACTTCTAAATAGTATTATATAAAATAAATTATTAAAATACAAAGCTAGACATGTTAGATATAACTAAATAGAAAACTATATTCACTTCACTTAATTCTTCATCCAGGTTCTCATAAAGTGAATGATTAATATAAAAGATTAACCCCCTCTCATATTTCTGCGATTCATCCTCTCCTGTCCAATCCACACGGGCCAACACTTCAGCCATAGACAAACCAGACATCTTATAGTATGGTAAGGCAAGGTGGGAATGCTGGGTGTCAAGCCTAAAAGGAAGGAAATAAAAAAACCTCAAATCTGCAATGTTTAAACCTAGATATGTTCATATGTTCAATAATAAAACAGATCACGCTTTCCTGAAGATGTAAGTCTTAAGAATACTTTTCTACTGCCATCAGTCATTGAAAAAGACTCTTAAATTTTCTTTCACAAAGTCGTCACTCTAATTAAAGTAGTTTCTTTTTGCCTGCTCATAATAAAAATACAAAATAATCAATTCATTAAGTGAGTTTTAATATTCATAGTGTGGCACTACAATAATGCTGTTTGTTGGTTGGAAAAATCTTTCAACTTATATTATTCATATGGATCCAGTGAATATCTGAAACAATCACATACAAAAAAATTTGTAAGCATAATTCTCAAAAATGTTGATCAGCCCTCACCCTGACTGTTGATGAGCAACTTGATATGTTATCCCTCTTAGTATTTTTTTTGTTTGTTCTACTTAATACTTTTGGTTGAATACAGTAATCAATACACAATTCTTCTTAAGTGCTGAAACTTAACTGAAAAGTGATCGCTGTTAAATATAAGAGTGGGAATAAGAGAGGGAAGAGATGTGCAATTTGGGACATGCTCAAGCTGACTTACCTCAAACGGTAGAGTTAGAAACATACCAGGGGATTCCAATTCAATCCCATCAAGGTGGCATGTACCAATGCCATCTCACTAGTCCCAGTGATCAATTTTCTGTTCACAATTGATCATAATGATAGGACTAAGAACCAAAGGGATCACATAAACAAGAATAGTGTCTGCAAATACTAGCTGATAGAATCAAAAAGGGAGAGAATGATCCAACATGGGAATTGAGATACACAGCAGACCCATAGAATGGCAGATGTCCTAAACAGCACTCTGGCCTCAGAATCAGCCCTAAAGGCATGCAGATCTGGCTGAAAAGCCCATGAGAGTATTTCAGGCATGGAAAGCCAAGACACTCAGAAAAAAAAAAAACCTAAATGAAAGATCTCCGCGAGTGAGATCCCAGTGGAAAGAACGGGTCATCAAAGAAGGAGGTACCTTTCTCTGAAGGGAGGAGAGAACTTCCACTTTGACCATGGCCTTGTCTAAATATTATCAGAGTCAGTGAACTCAGGGGGCTTCCATAGCCTTGGCAACTCATGACAAGAGCCTAGGGTGATTACTGATGCCATAAACAAGAGTGTCAATTTGTTAAGTCAACAACAGGAGTCACTGTGCACTTACTCCTCATGTAGGATCTTTGTCCTTAGTGTGCTGTACATTGAGATTTAATGCTATAACTATACTCAAACAGTATTTTTCACTTTATGTTTCTGTGTGGGAGCAAACTGTTGAAATCTTTACTTAATGTATGCTAAACTGATCTTCTGTATATAAGGAGAATCGAAAATGAATCTTGATGCGAATGGAAGGGGAGAGGGAGTAGGAAAGGGGAGGGTTGCGGGTGGGAGGGACGTTATGGGGGGGAAGCCATTGTAATCCATAAGCTGTACTTTGGAAATTTATATTCATTAAATAAAAGTTTAAAAAAAAAAAAAGAAAATCACCATTCATCCTAGTGTCCCTAACAACATAAAAGCATTGACTATTGAGATTAAAATAACTGATGGTCCAACTAACACATCTCCCTTATATTAACAGTAAGTCTATCTTGGGGATTTTCACTGGTCAAGGTTCAGGTCCTTTAAAACCTGAAAAAAAAAATCTTCAAATTCCTAAGTGAAGTGGTGAGAGACTCACAAACTTGAGACTTACTGATCATTCCATGAACTTGGAATTCATTGAAAGAAGGGAATGGGTCACGTTCATTTTTTATCTCTAAACCTAGAAGATGACCCATAAATCCACTCACTGGACACAGAATGCATTCAATAAATCCATGTGGCATAAGTGAATAAATGAACCACCTCCCTTCATGCATTCCTCCAATTATCTGGTAACCAACCACTGGAGATGGAAAAGCTACTAAATACACACGACATTCAAGATGGCTTCTGTAACAAGGTCCCAAGAGGTGTCACCAACCTGCTGTAACAGTCTCCAAGGTGTCCACAGCTTTCTTTAAATGCTGCTACAAGCTCTTCTTTCTCTTCGGGTTCCAGCTGACTGGCATCCATCAG